CGCCCACTGTGGATGCCTCGTCGTCCGCTCCGGGGCGCAACATGGTGGCGGGCCGCAGCTCGGGGTGAGTGTTGATGTGAGGTGGAGGCGCGATCCCAACACCCCGGTACCGATCATCGCGGGTGTCACGGACGATATCCGGCACGCGTGGCGCAGGACGGGGACAGGATCGACGATCTGAGACGCGCGAGAAGTATGTCCCGAGCGCGACGAGTGCGCGAGCGACAGGCGTGAGTGAACGGGTTACGGGGTAACGTCACACCGCCGCGGCCCGCGGGCAGCTCGCGTGCGAGACACACGCGCGCGAGTGAGAGATCCCCCGGGGGTTCCGCCGCGTCGCGGACGACGACATGCTGCCGATCGACGGGTTCTCGATGACGGGCGAGCGACGGGCACGCGGCGACCACGTCGCCGGGGTCGCTCGGTTGGCGAGACACGCGCTCCTGCTGCTGTACCTCCTCGCGGTCCTCCAGCTGCAGGGACCGTCGCCGGTCGCCGGCGAGTCCCTGGGCGACCCGTACAAGATACTGGGCGTGTCGAAGCGCGCGACGGTGCAGGACATCCGGAAGGCGTACAAGCACCTCGCCAAGGAATGGTGAGTGGCGCGCGTAACGTGGACTCTCCGCTGCGGGATATGGAAACGTGCTGTATGCTGCTCCTCCCGTAAGCGCGAAACGTACAAACGTGCGATTTTCTTTCAGGCATCCGGACAAAACTGATCATCCAATGGCTGAGGACAAATTTGTAGAGATAACAAAAGCTTACGAGGTAAGTTGTACAGGGTGCTTTCCATTCAGCGACACAAGTCGACACAAGCGTCGTTCCTGCCTTTTTCAACATCCAGTGACAACAAGGACAGAATGACACTTGTGTCGCCAAATGGAAAGCGCGCATAGCACTTGAAACGATACGCGAGACGGGGCGCAGCAACGAGGGGAGATTACTCTTTTATTAACTTGTCGCATCGAATTGCTCAGCTTTTAACAGATCCGGAGAGAAGGAGAAGGTTTGATAATCATGGAATTACGGAGGAGAGTATACCCAGGCAAAGGAGGGACAATAGTCACTTCAACGTTCACGATCCACTCGAGGACTTGTTTACCGATAATTTTAAATTCCACTATCAAAGCAGAGACATCACGTTGTTCCACAAAATGAGCATCACATATCGGTAATGGTGTATACCTCTCGCGCGCGACCAGCGTCCTGTCGCTGCAGGGATGTCGCATTCAAATGCCTCGTACAAATTGCAGAGGGTTCGAAAACGTAATAGTGCCCAAGACTTACCGTATGCCGTACTTGATCCTATTCTACTCCGACTGGTGCTTCATGTGTCTGCAAGTGGAGCCTACCTGGCGACGACTGATCGACGAGCTGGAACCTCTGGGACTCGGCCTGGCCACGGCGCACGCCAAGAAGGAGTCCACTCTGGCGAGACGGCTCGGCATCCACTCTCTTCCGTGTCTCGTGATTGTCGTGGATGGGCGCACTAGCGTCTACAAGGAATCTCTGTTCAGCATTCAGAAAATTGTTGGTACGTGTTTGCTACTTTTAAAATTACTTTGCCTCGTTCTCTCTCGCTGTCTTGTTTTAAGAACTCTCGAAAGATTGTGAACTAATATAAATCTATTTGCAGAATTTGTACGAAGTAGGCTACCATATAAATTAATAAGTACTATTAGTAATAGTAACGTTGAAAATTTCTTATCGGGCTGGACGGATAATCGAATACGCGCTTTGATATTTGAGAAGAGAGACTTTATTCGCTTGCGATATTTGCTTACGTCTTTTCACTATAGAGATCGAGTAGCCTTCGGCTTTGTCCAGGTAAGCATTTTCTGATATTCAATCAGTGATATACAATCTAACTCAAATTACTTCTTAATTATCATTTTTATTCTTTTTTTTTTTTTAATAGATCGGCATACCGGAGACTGAGAACATAACGTCGAAATACAAAATCTCAGGCGAATTAGACACTTTACTGCTCTTTAACGAGAATTCTGAGAAACCAATGGCGTCTGTCAGTATGAAGGACATTTCCAGCGAGACCATGCATAATGTTATCACCAACAATAAATTCCTCGTATTACCGAGGCTTTCAAATCAAGCCATGTTGGACTCTATATGCCCGCCTGAATGGCTGAAGCCGCAGAAGCGATTGTGCGCCGTTCTGATATCGCAGCAGAGTAGTCCTCTGCACGACATGGCTAGGCACAAGTTTAGACAAGCGGCATTGGAGTCATCTTATAGGTAATGTTTATCTCCTAAAGAAATTTTTAATACATATTTTTTTATATATACGATCATAAAATATTGATAGATAGATTTATCTAGTTAAAATATAATATAGTTTTTAATAGAGATTCAAGATAGATTCGTCGATTTTAATAGAGATTCAATAGAGATTCGTCGAATTTAATAGAAGCTTAATGTCTTTAAATGTATCAGAGATATATACGATATTAATTTCTACATACTATATATATTTGTCTCAAAATTTTATTTAATAATACTTGCAGCACGGAACGTGTCAGATATGCATACGTATTCAAAGATACGCAACCTGAATTTGTATCAGCACTATCAGCCGGTGAAGGCAGTCCGCTGGAGCCTTTGTTACATATCGTCATCATATGGAGACGAGATGCGAATCACTTGAAGTACGAATGGCTCCCTCACGGTTGGGTCGAGGCCGTTCAGGATGATCGTATATGGAACGAGACGCGTAGACATTTGGAGAAAACTATACAGAGGCTGTTACGCGCCACCGAAGCTTTACCATACGCTGCTGTCGTAGGGGAATTGGCGGATGAACATGCACAGGTATGCGTCCGCAGTAATCATAATATTCTTCCTGATCCAACAAATTTATTAGTACACCATATATTAACACTTTAATATACTTTTCCAGGGTACTGTAGACAGATTGATAGGAAGGGCATTATTAGCAGTAGACTATATATCGGATAATCTTACGAAAGAGCAAATTTTACCTTTGATATCGGTACTGGTGACCCTCATGCTGATAGGACTCGCGGGATATGGAATGTCGTACCTAGCGTAAGTGGAATTAAAGTGTTACATTTCTAATTTTTTTATTTCAATACTGCTAAGAATTTTAAGTTTATCTAATATAACTTCCGAAAAAAAATTGTATCCAAATCATCGATCCTATTTCTTCACAACATATCAATTTAACGAACATAATTAATAATGCTTTAGAGCATATATTGTTAATTTTGTACGTTAAATTGATATATTGCGGGGAAATAATATCTTGCGTATTATATCAGTTTATTGAATATAAATGTTATATATGTTTATATATATGAATTTATGTATTTTTATTTCCAGTAAGCTAGAAGAAGCAAGTGTCCAGGCCGACCGTGTTCAGTGCAAGGACAACGGCAAGCCGCTCCCATCGCAGCCGCAGCTACGATTGCACGAATTACGCGCGGAGAAATTCAACGGATTAGTTCGGCTTTTGAAACCAGGCTGTCGGACCATCATTCTGCTGATCGACGCCCAAAGCCGATTAAAGTTATTGCCAGCTTTTCACAAAGCTGTGTGGCCTTACAGGTACGCTCCGTTCGTTAGCATTTCCTATTTCAGGCAGCACGTCTGTCATGTAATAATAATTATAATGAAATTTTATATATCGGAATTAACGATGTTAACATATGACAAAGCACGGAAAGGGAGTGTCACCGTAAATCATTTTTCATTCTTCAGAAAGAATAAAACGCTTATGTTCGCACATATGTCATTAGAAAGGGGTCTTGATTGGTACAAGAAACTGTTATCTCTCACTTTACCCGAGCAGAAGGAATTAAACATAAATGCCAAGAACTGCGTCGGCACGGTCCTGTCCTTAAACGGACATCGAAAGTATTTCTGCATGTACCATGCCAAACATCCGGAGCATTCTAAGGGTAAACTAAGATCTAAGGTGCGTGTCCGAATATACCTTGAAGCTAAAGCCACGTTATCTGCTCATCTGGAAATTGAATTAATCATCGTATTACATATTATAGCGTATAGAAAAGATGACCAAGCAACTCGCCCAGAGATCCGAGGATCCGGAAGCGGGCGCTTTTATCGGTTTTGACAGTTCCAATGAATCCGAGCTGTCTCAAGACGAGGTACGCAACGACACGCGATTAACAATGTTCTTAATTTTTTAACTGTAATGTTGACAATAATTTTGATATATCTTTTTTTGACTTTTTCGATTATTTAATTTTTTTTTTTAAATAATAAATATTATAAGTAATAAATATGATAGTGAATATAAATATTATAAGTAATAAATATGATAGTGAATATAAATATTATAAGTAATAAATATAATAGTAAATATTCAAAATTTGCAAAATTAAGTAAAAGTTTGCAGAAAACATCGTGTCGCAATTCTCTTTTTAACGATCACGTTTCTTGCAGGGTGGAAATAACATTTTATATCAAGAGAACCTTCTAGACGGATTACCCATGTGGCTCGACAGATTGTTCGAAGGATTAACGCAACGTTATTATATAAACTATTGGCCCGAGTTCACTGCCAAGTAAAAAGGAGAGGAGAAATACGTTTTTTTTTTCTACACTTGTAGAGGAGACTATGACGCCTAGGGACATATTATTTTGGAACACGTTGTTTACCTTCCCAACACAAACGGAAGCCTTAAGTTTGGTTGCTCGACGATATTGCTTCAGTCATCACTTGTTTACAGCCTGACTAAGTACATATTTTGTACTCATTTAATTTTCATCCAGAAACAATTCTTACCGGGGCTATTTCGTAAGTATTTCTTTTATCAGATATACATCTTCTGATTTTTTAAGGACGCTTTCTTCTAATTTCTTTTAAAAAATTTGTACACCAAAACGTTCAAATACATTGAGATTTTTATTTTAGCTGTTAGTATATTTATAAAACTTTATTTTTCATGTATCTTTAGATACATGAGACTTTTTGTATCCCGTTCTTCTTTTTCCGTAGGTTATCGTAATGCAGTTCGAAAACGTAGAAAACGAAAACTGTGTTAGATTAAATAGATACGAAATAGCAATTACGGATATTTTAGAAATGGGATATGGTTTAGATACTGCTGCAACAGCCTACGGACTTGATATAGATTATCTGTCTATGTTTTTTCATACTATTCTTACTAAGGGAAAAGTTGTTAAAGGCAGAAATAAATGTCTATCGTTTTTCGACGAGCTAGCATTTCTACTATACGTGAAAATATGTCGTCAAGACCACTGTGTTTGCTTAGCATGCTTCAAAGAATATCTTCCACGTCTAATTTACAAATTCGTGAAACAAAACAATATAATTTATCCGTCACAATGGGACAATTGTCGGGCGGCGGATGAAATTACGAAAGAACGATTTCTGAAGAGACACGAAAATGAAATTTCAAGATTATTTTTGAAAGATTGCTTGAGATTATCTCCGAACAATCTGCTTAAAAAATCGCTGTACTTTTAAGAAGATATTCTCAAATGCCCGTCGAGCTTTAGATATCCGCGCAAACGTACTGGAACATTGGAACTCCCGGACGAACGTTTCTTGAAGCAAACAAGGAGGACCTTATGGACATAAATTCCGCGCAAAGATGGATGATCATTAAAAGGAGACACGATGTTTTCTGCAAATTTTTTCTTAATTTCTGCAAATATTGAATATTTACAATTAACGAAAAAAGAAAGGTTAAATAATCGAAAAAAAATCAAAAAAAGGATATATCAAAAGAAATCAGTAGGTATCACAGTCTCCTCTATACCTCGGTAAAAGTGATAAACAAGGTTATCGCCTAGTCAACAAGAATATTATTGCCATCGGGATTATACTGTGATTCGAATGGACACAGACACAAGACCCTGTATAAAGACAAAACATATTCATTACTTATGCTAAGTACCGTTTATAAACATATTTACAGTTTCCTGCATTTTAACATTTTTAGATTGGTCTTTAAGTATTGTTAAAAGAAAGTACATTATAAAAATGAGAGTTATGTAGCGCAGCTAGAAGGAGAAAGAGAAAGATTTTCACCGAGCCGGTGGATCGAGATTTCTCTGGATATAGATCAAGTTTTCTATATACTACTACTTCATCCGTTCCTATATTACTCGGGATGCTCTTTCTATTCCTCGAAATTACTTGTATCTAGTCAACACGTTACCAAAAAAGGTTAGCAGTATTGCACAGTACAAGCGAATATAGATCATTTATATTTCCTCTAATGACTGCGAAATCGCAATCGATTGCGATTCTCGTTGCGTTCGAATACGTTAACTCCTTACGATATTGTAACGATCGCTATTTTTAGTGTCTCGTAAAAAAAAAAGAGGAGTAAGAATGCGTATTGATATGTTCATCTACCTAAATGCGTATACTCTGTCGCTTGGTTCGCCCTGAGTTTAACGGTAATCGCCATATATCGTACGAGCGTATTTCTCGAATCCGAATGGTCACAGTAGCACATATCTCTACCTGCAGAATTTATGCTTTATCGATATGTAGTTACCGTAAAATCGATATAATTCGTAAGCGCAAAACCCAAATGTTAGCATGATAAAGGTCTTATATAAAAGAGATATAATTGCCCTTATCAAGATTTATATACGTCCATTACATTTTATTTTCGCTCGCTCTACTTTTCCACACCGGCTCTCTTGTTAGTTGTATTATTCTCTAAATAATACATATGTACGTATTGTTTATAGATAATGTATATGTATATATATATACGTATTATATTATTTAAGTATTACATTTATCCGATTTATCCGCCAAAGTATTTTAGCGAACTTCTAAAGAGATGTTTACTTCCCTTTCGAATATGTAATCGGTTTTTTTTTTTGCAAAGCGACAGATGTAGGTACTTATTTACATATACATACAATATTTCCTTATTATCAAGAAGCTATTAGATAATATATTAAACGTTGTACTATAGAGAAATGAGATACATTGTAACGCTGTTGAAGCTGCAAATTATGTGCGCTCAATTGTTTATACTTTATATCCTTATATATGAAGATAAAAATTTGATGAGACAAATATTAAATTACAATTATAATTCTTCCTAGGCACCCGACAAGTAATTCTCTGTTTAATTATTGTTCTCTCGTTCTGTTAGCAAATGCAGACACGATTCGCCTGCCGTGTTAAAAGATTCACAGAGTCAAAATGTGCTTTGTGTTTATCGATTTGATAACCGAGAGCGCGATACGATTGAAGGTACATCGTATAGACTATAGGCATACTGAAGGTACATCGTACGTTTTATTGTCGCGTCACAACTTTTTCTTCCGAATTCGGCACGATGTGAACACAGCGGAGTTAACATTTCTATCCTTGATAGCGTTAATCTTGCTGGTACTCTAATCTTCAGCCAATTATCATATTACACGAATATTATTACACATTTGATTAGACTTTTAATAGCGTTTTTAAACGCGGCGGTATATTCATATCAATTTTGCGGTAACTATAAAGTGCTTTAAGTTATTGCTCGTTTCTCGTAAGCATTATGTGATACAGCGAACTGTCGAGCTGATTTTGCGAGATGTGCACTGCGATATATACATTTGTTATCTCTCGCAAAAGCACCGATAAAGAAATAACGTATCTAGGAATGTTTGTTAATAAAGCGTGTAGTTTATCGTACGTTATCCGCAGATAGAAGTATGTACGTATGTATATGTACGTATCTTTCTCAATGTTGGCCGGTATACTCGATCGCCCGATTTATTTCTAAAGTTATAAGTATATTTTGCTGCGTTCGGAAATTACATAGAATAAGATCCGCATAAAAATAAGGAGGAGGGGGTGAGCGAAAACGGGGATTGCGTATTCATTGTATATCACATTGATCACTTTATTTCGTTAAGGAACATTGTTTATGCTGTTTCTTACGCTGCAGTTCTGGAAATACTTCGTACATCAATACTTCAAATATATCCTGTAATAAAAAAAAAAAGAGGAATCACAGTGAAAGAAATGTGCAAAGAGATCGATATACATACACACCGCATGCGCTTCGACGACGAGACGAAGCGACGGTTACAAAGCAAGCTCGATACTTACGTAAAACAGCTGCTTGTTCAGATTCACGTTTTGCAGGGAATCGAAAACCTTAATCGCGCCACGCTGAGCGCTCTGCGCCCCCACTAGATTCGTCAATACTTCAGGTACATTGTTGAGAAATTGCCTGCGCGCCTCGCCGCGCGTCTTCAACTTCTCCTCGTCGGTGCGAAGAACGGTCTCGGACACGAGCTGCCCGTTCGGCCACCACGATCTCGTGAACAGCTGTATGTAATAATGGAGCATCGGCTCGGAGAACACCCACGCAACGGTATCTCTGATTTGTCTGCAAACCAATGAACATGTTAACGCGCGTATCTCGAAAAATATCTTATAACTAAACCACGAAACATTAGGAAATTACAAAATTAGTTATTTGTACGAAATAATGTATCTAAAAATGGAGAGTGTTAAAAAAGTCTTACATGAGGCAAATAAAGTTTTGTGTACGCAATGTCTCACCTGTTTATGGTACGCCCGTAAGTAATCTGTACGAAGGTGATCAGAGACCGTCTGAGCCAACGAAATACGCCTCTTAGATCGAAAACTTCCCCGAGGAGCGTGTACAACGGCTCCGCGATCGCGTCTTTGCTGGCGTTCAGATAGTTGTCCGTGCCGGTACGGCCCGTCTCGCTGTCGTCCAGCAGCAACGAATAATCCTCTTCGTCTTCCTTGTCGCGTGGCTCGGTGCTACCGACGGATCTGTGAATTTTTACAGAGTGAAAAAGAAGATTATTATTAATTTAATCTAATAATAAATAATATGTAAATATTATTAATGATCATGCAATGAAATTGGTGAGACGTACGTTTTGAATAACGTGGACAAGGAGAAGCGAGATTTCTTGGGAGACGGTGCCACCACGGCTTTAAGATGCTCCGAGCTTGGGCTGAGAAAGGTGTACAACGCCTCGCTTTGATTAAGTCTCTCGTCCTCCAAGATAAACTGTAAGAATTAATAGGTAAAGTAAGAGAAACAGCATTGATAAAGCAATCCAGATTCACATACATTCAAATATTTTTGTATCTGCATCTTGGCTTTGTCGAGGGTGCTCTTGTCGGATTTCCCGAAGAATTTCAACGGCTGCGAGGGTAAGTCCAGGCTCTTAACGTTAGAGCACAATTGCCGTAATTTCCTATGGAGATCTTGGAAGTCCTGCAGTTTCCTCAGCACCACCCATCCGCTGGAGATGCTCTCGTCATTGTCTTCATCCTCTGCCATATGGACGACCAGTACGAATTGCGGAGGATCCCCGTTATCGGGCATCTATTCGATACGAGAATCGTATAAAAAATCTTTCCATAGATATACAGTGATGTATACAGAAAAAGTCCATATTAAAATTACCTCCGCACTCTGCACGTCGGCTCGCCAACGACCCAGATGTTCGGCCCACATTTCCGTGTGATTTAAATGCGCCTCCAACTGTCGCTTTTCACCTTGCAGCCATTCTACCTCTTTCGCCAGTATGCTAAGTACCTTGCTCTCGGGCTTGAGCGAGGATTTGAGCGCCTGCAGAGCTTGCATTTTGTTGTTTAATTTTTCGTGCAGCTGATCCAGCTTGCTACGAGCGTAATTCGATCGTTCGCCAACGAGCAAAGTCGACGACTCTGACAGTGTGCCGTCGACGATCTCGCGGTCCTCAACCAAACCTGGAAACACGGCAAAAGTTTATAAATACATTATTTGTAATATATAAAATCACGTTTCTAAATTACCCAGTTAAAATAAATTTTTACTAATTAAAACACAATCTAATATATAATGTAAAATACACTGACCTTCTGCTCTCTCATTAAGTAGTGCCTCCTGCATGGTTTTATACTGCTCGCTAACGAGAAACGACGGATAATACTTTTCCTGCAGCGTCTTGACAACGCCGTCTTGGACCTCGTAAAACACACTTGGTCCCGTGTCGCCCAACAAAAAGGCCTCCATCCGCTTTCGTACGTTCTTATCCACCTTGATCTCGGCGGTGGGTGAACGGATGTAGGTGTAAAAGATCTCGGCTCCCAATTGATGCCAGTTGGACCGTTCGGCGGCGCGTAATTCCTGCACCGCCGCCCAGTAACCGATCAGTCCTTGACTGGCGACCTGTTCCAGAAACTGGGACAAATACCGCCGGCCGATTACGTTATCCAGGATCGCTTGCAGCGGAAGTATCCTGCCTTCCGCGATCTCCGCAGCGTCGCAGATCTCCGTATCCTAGAAAAGATATCATTATCACAATGCTCAAAAATTGTCTCGTTACCGTTAAATCGTGCCAAGGTTTTCAACCTGACGAGGATATCCATCCCATCCCAACGTCTGCATGTGGCACTCGCACGTGTTCTTGGCGTACGTCAGCTGGCTGATGTACCTCTTTAATTTTCTCGCTCGAATGGCGTCGGAGTTGCCGAGCGCGTTATTCTCGGGATCCAAACCTTGTGCTCGCTTCACGTTTTGCACCGTGGTGGCTTGCATGATCTCGGTAACGATATTGTATCTGATATGTTTGAGAACCTCCAGATCCCTGGTGCTCTTGACCATGCGGATAAAGTCCTCGAACGACTCCGCGTATTCGTACGTTTTCCTGTGCATCGCCTCGGCGAGCTGCTGCTGGTCGATGTACGTCAGGATCTTCTGGTTGATATAATCGGGATCCGTGATTAAATCTATTGCCGGTTTTAGGACTGAAGGAAAGAAAAAATGTATGTAGATATAAGTAAATGAGAGAGAAATAAATAAATCATTTATACTTTTCAAAGAATGATCACAATGCTTACTCTTGCACGTGAGAACCTCTCTTAAAAGGTACTTTACTGGAGAAAGCGAGTAACTGCGTGGTAATAAAAATAGGATGTAAAGTTCGCTGATCTTCCTCAAGTATTCCAACTCGGCGACGGGCGACATCAGATGCGCCGACAAAATGAACACAGGGTCCTCCCCCTCCGACCTAAATGCGTACAAACGAATCAGCTTGCTTCTCGACTTCGCTCCTCCTCGAACACACCAACGAAAAGGGACACGCTTACGAGGCCGCCTGAGCTATCCTGATCTTCTCGAAGTGAAAGGTGAGCTTGTTCACTATATTGCAGACCACCAATTTGGTGTGGTCGACACGCGACAGGCGATCGTGCAGGCTCTGTATCGCGCCCCACACGTCCTGCTTCATGCTGTCTATCAGCTGCTCCGAGCCGAAGGCCAGGTCGTTCAGCCAGAAGCCGACAAAGTCCCGGAAGATCAAATCCAGGAGATTCTGCAGGGCGCCGTCCACCAGACGGGTGAAGACGACAGGATAGCGCGTGTGCTTCCTGGCGCTGGCCGACTTGGGCTCGTATCCCTTCTGAAAGGCCAAGCCATGAGTGGGCAATGATAAGAATTAGCGTGTCCACAGACGAATCCCCAGCAAACGCGGATTATACTGTAATATAATCTATAAGATAGCTACAGTACTGCAGCAACAATGTGATATTTCTGCAATATAGCTGGAATGTTACAATGTTGCAGTATTATAATCCTGTGTTTGCTGAGATTGTGCCTTCGCCTTCGCGTACCATCAACATGTTATGGAAGGCGTCCACTTCCGCGACGGTTCTGACAGTGCCGGAGCCGGTCTGGTGCTTGGGCGACAGGGCTATGTTGATCAGTATCATGATTAACGGGCCGACGAGCAGGCAGGAGCAAGTCAAAACGATGTAGAGGCTACAACACTGGATGCAGGTCCAGTCCATGATAATTCCCAGGCTCACGACGGCCAGCGACGTGACGCAAACGACAACGGGGGTGACCATGGTTTTCTCTCTCTAATAAGAGCGGCGAGACGACGGTGCTTATATCATCGGACGTATACGCACCCAATGACGCTTTTTAATCTCGCCGCACTGATAATACCAAAACAATACCGAGAGCCTCGCCATTTTTAAATGCCCAGCTTCTCGCACTTTGCGCTTCTCTCGGCGCCGAGGCTGCGTCATCTCGCGGCGAGACCGAGAAGCCACTTGACTGTCTCCTTTGAGTGTCGTGATAAGGAAGAGACTTCGATTAATTTAATTGGCATGCATTTATTAGCTCATCAAGTTTTATATTTGATTTCAATTAACTTATTTATATGTATGAATAAGCAAATTGAAATCAAATATATAACTTGATGAGCTAATTTAATCGGCATTTATTAGCTCATTAAGTTATATATTTGATTTCAATTAGCTTATTTATATGTGTAAATAAGCAAATTGAAATCAAATATATAACTTGATGAGCTAATAAATGCCGATTCAATTAATCGAAGTCTCTTCCTTATCACGACACTCAAAGGAGACAGTCAAGTGGCTTCTCGGTCTCGCCGCGAGATGGCGTAGCCTCGGCGACAACAGGAAGCGCAAAGTGCGAGAATCTGGACATTTAAAAATGGCGAGGCTCTCGGTATTGTTTTGGTATTATCAGTGCGGCGAGATTGAAAAGCGTCATTGATGGGTATGTATACGTCCGCTGATATAAGCACCGTCGTCGCGCCGCTCTTATTAGAGAGAGAGAAAACCATGGTCACCCCCGTACGTTGCACATCATCACATATCTATAGTGATATCTATTTATATTTTATTATATTAATTATATTTTAATTATATAGTAATTAGTATAATTTAAGACTTATTTTTCGTAGTCAATATGATGTAGAAAAAAAGATTATAAGATATATAATAATTACAAATTAGAAATTTTGTTTAATTGGGACACAATCCCACAGGTTAAATTCATTACTAATTAAACTCTCATTAACGCTGCGGATGGCTGTAATTCTTCGTGAAAATTTGATTATTTTTTTACGAAATTCCAGCTCGAAGCGCTAAATTAATTAAATGCAGTTGAAAAAAAGTATTATAGAGACAAAAAAATACGAAAATTAAATTTATTAAATGATATATATCTAGATATCTTTAGTCTCGTATTTGATAACAAATTTTTTATCGACAATCTTATACGACTGACTTATATATATTTTTTTTTTATCGCAACAAAAAGTTCGAGAATTATAAGCTCCTTGAAATATTAATTAGAGTGTCTTATCAACGCGTCTAATTGTCCGACGATTTTTTTCGTAGATATCGTGGACGCGATGTGAAAAAGTCCAGGGAAAAACAAGACTCGATCGACGCGCGAGTCGAATATATATATTTCTCGTCGCGCGGATTTTCACGTTGCTCAATAATCCGTGGATTCGCGCAATCGCGGACGAGCTGCGCGGAGCGATAAGTCGGCCGAGAGCGAGCGATAAATCGTCGGCGCGCGATAAAAAGCGATCGAACGCGTCATCGCGGAACGGTGATGGCTCGACTCATCTCTTTTTTTTTTCCACCCAATTTCTTCCGCGAGGACAAGGAGGGGGGGGCTGACGAAATCGACCTTGCGTCGCGTCACAACGCGGCCTAGTTGTGACAGGCCGCTTTTCGCAATAATCGCGCGCCGAAGATAAGGAGATCGTCAATTCGGTGACTGCAGCCGAGTGCGCGTGTAATTATGTCTACCTTGGAAACGGCGCGAGCATTAAAATCGTGCTCCAGTTAACGCGACCGATTGACGCCGCGGATGAAAACTTGTTGGCCTTCGCGCCGAACGTGAATAAATAATTATTTCCTTTTTTATTATCTTTCCTTCCTCATTTTTTACTGCTTCTTATTTCCTTTATTATTTCTTCCTTTTACCTCCTTTCTTATGATTCTTTGAATTTTCTTTTTTAATTATTGAAATCCGTTCTCTTCCAGGAAGCTGTTCGATTATAATTATAAATTTAAGGGACGTAAATGAAATCCCATTCAAATTTTCCGCTATTTCATCTCCTACGTATCGTGCGCTCCTGATAACGCGAACTTAGCTCTTGAAATCTGAATTTGCGACTCATTTCAGTTCGATTGTCCCCGCGGGAGAGGCGCGAACTCGTGTCGGATAATCGCCTCCGTAACTACGTAGCTCCTGGCGATTCTTGTTCCCCTGACAACTTCGACGATTTTTCGAAGGTATCGAGAGCACGTGTTCCAGCTCTCGTCTAATCTCTCGCGCATTGTTTTGAAATGAGAGACGTAAATGCCATCAGAGACACTTCTGCGTATTATATATCTTTGACTATATAAATAGTATAATACTTATATAGTCAAAGCGTATATTATATGAATTAAAATTTTATGTATAGCGTATATTTTGCATGCTGACGCTCATTTTTAGCGTCAAAACAGATCACGTAAACAAAATTGATATTCGTGAATTTTGATCACGTGATCTTTTTGACGCTAAAAATGAGTCGTCAGGATGAAACACGATATATCATATATAGATATTATATATAATTACGAAGAATAATGTATGCATATATTAATTAGAATATATATTATTTTACATTTGAAACTAATACAGCGTTATTTATTATTTATTATTTATATTATTGCTGCAGCGCTCTTAGATTACTATCGCATTTTTCACATCTATAAATCCTAATTATATTTATCAACGTTTAATAATTTATAGACTTACGGAATTTAATTAATAATTTCTCACTTCTGTCGCGATGTTGATAAAGAATTCAAATGGAATTAAGGATTTAAAGTTGAATATAGCAAGGAAAAATTGCATTAAATTGCATGCGCTCCATAAATCTTTTCAGATGTATATATAGGTACGTTGCAGTATTAAAAGATCGTGAGATATGAGACTTGGTATTTAATTCTTACATTTTCTGGCGTAATATTCATTTTTTTGGCATTTAAATGTTTAATCTCCACATATTTTCTGGCCTACTAAGATTTATATATTTTCTAAAATAATTTAGCGCTTTGACTGGCGATATATAATTGAGATCTGCGGCGATTTTTTTTCAGTGGAATCACAGCCTCTCTCGTCGATCTTTCCGATAAAAGATCATGAAATCGCCCGACCTTGAAGGATATTCGTCGTTCACACGGTCGGCGAAGTTCGGGGAAAATCGCATTCATATCCACGCATAATTTGAAGTGCAAGTCGCCAATTAAGTTTTACTTTCCAATCTCCGGGTGAGGGCCAGGTTCCCCGAGGGTCGCGAGGATGGCAGCCGAGCGAGCGGGCAGACGTCGCGGCGTTATCGCACAGCGTGGATCTCCTGCACGCGCCGCGGTGACACGTATAAAATGTCGACGTGAGCGAGATTTTTCGGCCTCTTTTCGTTGAACGTACGCCGGTACACCGTCGACGACGAACGACATGGCCCGACGACGCCGGATCTCCGTCGCGACGATCGCCCTCTGCTGCTGCTGCTGCCTCATCTCGCTGGCGAACGCAACGTTCGGCGTCAAGCCCGACGACAATCCCGACATCGAGCTCACGACGGTGAGTGCTATAGCCGCTCCTTTATAGGCTCTATTTGTAATACGATCGTTGTGACATGACTAGCTGAACGAAGCGCGCCGCAACAACGGATGGAACATACATTCTTATATCTTGAATGTCATCAGTTAAACCGCGGGCTTGCGCAATTACCCTCTCCTTTCATCGCGTTTATTTTACCATTTAGATGGATTCTTGGAGAGCTGAAGAAAGTAACGAGGGTAAGATGATGCTTAAGAGATTGATGTAGATCCTTGGGCATTTTTGCTCGATCACATCCTCCTGAAATTCTATATTCTTAAGATTCAACTTAATCGGCATCTATATAATTGATGCGCGAAATAAAAACGGACGAGCTTAACTTATGTTAATTTCGCCTTCTAACATGTATTTTCCTTCACAGCCGGAATTGGTGGTGAAATACGGATATCCCTTGGAGATTCACGATATCGTTACGAAGGACGGCTACGCGCTTCAGCTGCATCGAATACCGCGCGGCCGGGACGACGAGGAGGAGACGAAGTCCAGGATAAGGACGCCGATACTCTTGGTGCACGGTCTGGCAAGCAGCTCCGCCGATTGGGTCCTTATGGGGCCTGAAAAGTCCTTAGGTAGATCCTTACTTCTATTTTCGAGTAAGAGCTATAAAAAATTATTACCAATATCAGTGCATAAGATAACATTGACATTCGCTCGGATAAGGTAATATAATAGGGGACTTCTTTTATAGCGTACATATTAGCCGATGCGGGCTACGACGTGTGGCTCGGAAATAACAGGGGCAACATCTACTCGAGGAACCACACCTCGTTGTCGCCGAATGATCGAGCTTTTTGGAATTTCAGGTAACTGAAACGTTGCAGAGGACTAATGACAATTTTATTTTTATTAGAAGAAATCGCACAGAATTCTCGCTGCACTAGCCATTGATATTCATTTAACTTGACCGTTCACAATTAAAAATTCCAAGTAAAAAGTCAGACATCTGATTAATCTAAAAAATGTTAAATAATAAAGCTCGTGCAGAGATCGCAATTGAATTTATAACTTTAACTTAAATTTGTGCTCGTTTTAAGAAATATTTATTTCAACACAAATTTAAAATTAATAAGAAAGATCATCGCAGGGAAACTTGTACGTGTTTCAGTTACCACGAGCTTGGCATCTACGATCTTCCCGCGATGATCGACTGTATTTTATACACGACGGGACACGAGAGGCTCTATTACGTCGGTCATTCGGAAGGTAGCACGCAGTTCTTGGTGATGGCGTCGGAAATGCCCGAGTACAATTCGAAGATTATCCTGATGATCGGTCTGGCGCCCGCGGCGTTCAGCGGCAACCTACGCGGACCGATTAGGAAACTCGCCAAGTTGACGTACTTCGGCGTGGTGAGAGAAACGTCGCGATCCGTGACTTTTGAATGCGATTTTATGTCGATCTCAAAGTCGCATTCAAAACCCTCGGTCGTAATTTCCTTTCGTTCCTTTTGCAGTGGGTCGGCGAAACTTTCGGCTACCCGGAATTCCGCTCGCGGTCCGATTGGGCGAAATTCGTATCGAACCTATTCTGCCAGAAAGCGGCGTCCACGCAATTCATTTGCAGCAATATCCTGTTTATGGTCACGGGATTCAGTCGTGCGGAATTAAATACAGTAAGAGTACACGACACGCATTCATCGATTTCAATTCCCTTCTTTCCTTTTATTCGTTTTACTTATTGATCGAGCTCTTCTTTTCGCTGCTGTTAGGAGTACCTGACGGTCATCATAGGCCACGTGCCCGCAGGGGCTTCCTGGAAACAATTCGTGCATTACGGTCAAGGATATATTAATGCAGGTAACATCGTGATAATTGTGAAAGAGAAGGGAAAGATAAATATGTGCCGAGTGCCGTATTGCCTGTATTGTATATATTATAATACCGAGTGATGCTTGAGGAAATTTCAAAATGCTTCAGGACGCTTCAGACAGTACGACTACGGCAACGAGAAGAATCTTCGGGTATACAATTCAACGACGCCGCCGGATTACCAGCTGGAAAAAATCACGACGCCGATCGCTCTTTTCAGTAGCGACAACGATTGGCTAGCAAATGCGAAGGTATACGCCAAGGCGCAACTGGAAAAAAAATGTTCCTTTTATAAAAGCATTCGAGTTCGATTCAGTCGAACAAATTTTGTAGAAACTTATCTTAAACGTTAGATTTTTTTTCTCTTTCTAAAATTTATATAATCAAAATTCGTTAACGTCAATCGTCGCTCGTTAACGTGATGTGATTTTTATTCAAGGACGTGGACCTCTTGTCGCAACAGGAAAAAATGTTCCTTTTATAAAAGCATTCGAGTTCGATTCAATCGAACAAATTTTGTAGAAACTTATTTTAAATGTTAATTTTTTTCTCTTTCTAAAATTTATATAATCAAAATTCGTTAACGTCAAATTCGTTGCTCGTTAATGTGATACGATTTTCATTCAAGGACGTGGACCTCTTGTCTACGAAACTCAACAGCGTCGTGTTTCACTGCAAGACTCCCGCCAACAGCACCTTCAATCACTACGACTTCATATGGGGAAAGTCCTCTCCGCAAATGGTGTCATGGCCTATTCTGCGACTGCTGGCCCAGTATCAATAGCCTTTTTTGGGGATTAAAAAAAAAGGGGGGACATACCCTTTCTGAAAGACAGAAAGTTACAAGTGCGTATAATGAATCGGTCTAATTTATTGTTGTTATATTATTAGTATTATCATCATATAATACGTTTGCGTTTACATTATATATATAGTCCGTACTATGTTTAACTTCACTCCCGCCTCCGTCAGATTGCATAGCGCTCTGCATTCAAAATTCACCTGCGTCGAACTAACGTTAAAACGTAACTTATATATATGTGTATATATATATATATATATATATATATATATATATACATATATATCTTCTCTCGATTATGTAATGTCGCTCTATGTACATTTATACAAACTCCATCGTAATCAGTCTGCGATCACTGCGTAAGAAACTACATTCGCGATTACAATTCATCGCGAGCCGCGTCATCCCGGCCGCCGGTATAATTACAAACTTACACTCCTTCGACCTCTAATCGCACTTGAGCATCGTCCGGAGAAGGGCACCCTTCTCCGCCTCGAAAAACCGTCCCGCCTGAAACGAACGCAGCGTGTCGAATCCTGGAAGAGATAGGTCGCCGAAAGGAATTTCGCTTCTCGCGGCTGATGCTTTAAGCGATCGATCCTGATTTATCCCAATGTACACAATGTAATTAGAGTTATATGTAGCCTATATGCTAACTTACGCTTTAATCGTTTAGCATAACTTCTTAAAAGTTACCCATGCGGGGAGTAATGAATGAGCCAGTTCGCGAGTTTCGCGAGAATCACATGCGAGATGACAGTGATTTGGATGGCCCTATATAAGAATCGCCCTTTTCACAAGCGAATAAATTTATAAATTAAATCTTAAAGTAAATCTAATTGGAATCAATTCAATCTGCGCTTCAATCTCTCGGCCTCTTTTAATTCCACGGCATGATAGAGCGGAATGAAAGGTGGAATCGGTGACGCGCTTGAAAATATCGCTCGCGGAACTGGCCCTTTATAACGTATAGGTAATAATAATAATGTACATAGTTGTATGTCGCATGATATGTATTAGTTTATGTTAGAATAGGTCGGATGGATAGATCGGGGGAGGCTTCCCCCGCGTGATTCATATGAAAATTTATGAATCGCCTTCGACCGGCGGCGGCGGCGAAGGCCCCATGCATTTATCACCGCGGCCGCGGTGAGTGAACGGGACCTCACCGCGCGTCGTTACGCCTGGCATGTGAATCGTGCGAACCGATGAAAAATTGCGCGATTAAACCATAATCGATACTTGAGCTCATGTGTGTTGGCCACTCGAGGTTCACCTAAAAACTCGATATCTATATATCTTTCGCAATAAAAACACACTTGATTACAATTTAGTTTCTATAAAAATCTCGACAGCACATAAATCTCCGATAGCCGTAGTTAACTATAAAATGTACGGATATATATCCATTTCTACCAATGTAGATTAACTTTAATCTCATTTTAACTTATACTTTTTATCCTTTTCTAATTCTAAGAATTAAAAAATGATACGGAGTAAGCTGAACCATAGATTAAAGTTAATCCACATTGATAGAAATGGACAATAGCAACCGTTATCCGCGCGCGGTTCGGTAAATACAATTTTCTCGGAGGCGCGTGTCGCGTCACCGAGTGTTACAACAATTATAATTTGACATTTTGTATTTTAACGAGATAATTTCACGATATAGAAGACTTTGCAAACGTCAAAGACTACATACATATCAATAGATACAATAGAATTGAAACTGCGACGTGCACCTCTTCCACCACCACGCGAAACTAACACATTCTCGATTAAAAAGAAAAACGTAGCTTACGTATACGAAGGAGAAAGAAAAAAAGCTATTGAAATCTTCCGGATTTAACGCTGCTCTTTCAGAGCATCTTCCATCTTGTTAATAAATTCTTTTAATATCGCTTTTAAAGTTCAGAGTGAAATAAAGACAAAGTTATTGATATGTAACAGACAAAAGCCAAAGGTATTGCGTTGAAAAAGCGGGAATAAAATCTCTGTGATAAAAAATTATACCTCATTGCGCACGTATACGAGAAGCGATGCAAAAAGCCGCGTTCGTGGTGGAGCGAGAGGTAACTGATTAATTCCTTTGCACGTAGGGATTGTTTTATTCGTTACCACCTTAAAGGAACAGAATCACAATATCTTCCGGTCCGTGAAGATATTAATCGCGGCTATATCGTAGGGTGTGGGTAGCCCGCCGTCACGTGTTCGCATGACGCACACAGGATGCACTTGAGAGAAGCAATGTAATATTCCCGTTCCGGAAAAAACGCAAGTCAAGCCTTATATAAAAATACTATCAACGGCAATATATATAATAACGTATACAATTTTTAAATATATATATATATATACTCAGCAATTATTCAGTAATAATTATTGAGGCCATCGTTAATACGTCGATAACATACGCGCGGCACTTTTGTCGTCGTGGACGAGGGAAGGCACGCGTACAATCGATTCTCTCGTTAATTCTGCGAAAACGAGACACACTTAATTAATGTCTCCGCTCCCCGAGAGAGACACCGTCTGCTGGCCTGCCCGCGAGGACAGAATGCGCCCCTCGGTTAATTTATATTCTTCATTTAGATCGTGTAACAAATCCTAACGTATAAGCGTCCCTTCTGCTTTTTGATATCTTGTACTCTATAACAATTAAATGCAACTCTGTTCAATTTTATCTATAAATATTATATATATATATATGTATATAATTTTATAATTGTAATTATTATAATAATCCTCTTGCTGTATCGTTCTCTTCAACATTGAAATAAAAACAGTCTCATTAGTCGCCGAGTTACAAGCAGAAATAATATACGTTAGAATTATATCGGAATTTTTATGTCTCAGTGAAGATATACATATAACATATGTACGATAAAATATATATATATTTTTTTCCTTCAAATGAAATTACGTCCGTAAAATACGATCAAGCAATATTGTACCTGCAATATAAACATAGAAAATATATATAGAATACGTGTATTGCGATCAAATGTGAATTAATTGATCCGGAGCAAAAGTATGTAAAGCAAAGTAAGAAATGTGAACGTGGAAGAATTTTATTAGAAAGAAGGGCGGATCGTATAGATTACGCTCACCGTAAATTCACATAATCGTTATACGATAGATTAACTGAGCATTAGGGAGTGATGCGCGTGTTCGAAATTATTGTACTATACTGTCACTATCGGTTTTTCGTAGTTAATTAATATATTACAAATACCTACAGCTCCGATATATATATATTTTTTTCTCTCTCTCGTAAACTTTTCCGTCATATCATTTACCACAGTACCTGTATCTTTTGACACTATGTACATGCATAAATATTATATATACACATATTGAGTACACATAGCGGGATGTTCTAAGGAAATAAGAAAGAAACAGTAAAAATGTCCTTTATGTTGTACTGCACAATTAGAGAAATTGTAAAATTGAAATAATTAGAAATAAGAATCTCCAAAAATCACGCTACGCGGTTATTTAAAGAAAAATTATATTCGCGATCATTGTCTTAGGAATGATGATGTGCATATTCAAATCCATTTTTAGACTGACAAATGTCAAAGGGGAATAAAAGTAAAAAGAATCTCAATTCCTGGAAAAGTTTGTAAAAATTATCCGAAAGCGTATGTATCATTCAATAAATCTGACATTAATAAATCCTTATTTGTGAAACGTTCGCGCCTAATTCTTTTTTTTTTCTCTTCCTCCTTTCATCGCACGCGCATGATCTATAAAAGGATCGCACCTAGTACGAAGATGATTGAGTCTCTTATGCTACTCCCCTAAGTTTATATTTCATACAATATCTACTCGCGTGAATCTAATAATTTCTCCCCGTACTTTCGGAACGTATTTGGGATATCCGAGGCTCGGATGTCCGCATAATTTCTCTCTTTTTCTCTCTCTCTCTCTCGATGACGCACTGTATCCGATTAAATTAAGTAGCTGTCTAACTTAAATATATATTTATATGTATGTATATGTAATATACGCGTATATATATCTCTTTATGGAATACGTATCTCTTCGTTCGTTTAAGTATATCCGAGATCCTCGGGTATCCGAGTATAAATAGCTATGTATATAACATTTCATAAATTCCTACAACAAAAGCATACAAATACGTGGAAAGTTTCAGAATCAATGATAAGGTCTAAACGATGCAAGTCTCCGGTACTTTTTCCCCCAAGACTCGCGCGCTCTGTATGGTCCTTCAAAAAGAATATAAAATACGATACAAAGTATGGAATATTCAGCTGTATGCCGCGTATATTAAACTTATAAACGGAGCTCGGCGCGACGCGCGCAATCAATTGACCGCCAGGTGATACATCGGCTGTTTTTTTTTCCTCTCCTATATCCTTTCCTCGTCCAACGGGTATCGATTGTCGCGCGAAACACCGTGCTCCGTTCGTTGGAAAGACAATGTTCGCGCCAGAAGATGTGCAGACTTTAACAATATATACTTAAGCGTCTCTTAAATAATTAACTGCAGTATATCGTGCCGAAATCAACGGTACATGAAATATATATACATATATTATATATATATTTCATATTACCATATACTGTAACATATACTGTTCGATTACCATCAGCGTTAAGGATCTCCTTATTTAGAATACTTTATAGTTATCTCTCCCCCGCGTTCGTCGTTCGACTCGTCCCTATAAAAAAATAGCGGATCGCCGTAGCTTATATAAAATAATAGCAGCCTTTGCAACAATTAAGTTTACAGTGGATATAACACGTATTTAATTCATTCGCTATGTTACAATAGGAATTCATGTACGAAGTTTCTCTATGCTTACGCACAACTGTTTCTTATAACGAGAAAAAAGGTAAACGAAAAACACAGGGATAAAGTAAAGTGCGGAAACTGGTTCGTCGCTGGAAAAAGAAGAAGAGGAGGAATCACGTAAGTTCTGCAACGCGTAAATACTCGTATCGCGTTCGATACTGCTAAGATGTCGAGTGTTGGCACCATATTCCCTCTAAAAACGCAAGTCACACGATACCTTCCGCTTTACGTAGCGTCGTCGCATTTACGTCGGGCAGCGGTATCGTGCGGTAACGTCGATTGTTTTCAAGATAGCTCTAAATGCCAGAACTAAACTTATCCGCGCGTTTCATCGTTTACTTGTGTGCATACGCTCGAGAGAATCCGGAGAGAACTACGAGATTTTAATTACATCTCTCTTTTACGTGATGTGAATTTTGGTATATACTTGTCGTCTCGTTAACACCGTTCCGCGTGAGACCTCTACGTTAAACGCTTTTCATAATTACGATTACACCGCAATCGATCTTCGCAACTGCGAAGTCTTCCCTCCCACCCCCTTTTTTTAAACGTCTTTAACAGCGGTCGTCCTTATGTTCGCCAGAACAAAACCCAATGCGCAGTAATTCTCTAATATATACGATGTAATCTCGTCTACGTATAATTTAATTCCGCGAACTACTCCGCGTTTCGTCGTAACGTAAAATTAACCTTTTTAAACGTTTTATCGTCGAATCCTCGTTAACTTTTACGGATCGTATATTAATCTAGCAAAAAATGTCCCACGTGGTATTTCAGTAATACTTCTACGGTTAATACTTGCGACGTAATACGCTTCGAAATTTGCTTGCTCGATCAGTTTTGGAATAAAGTTACAGCGGGCGCCTCTAACTTTATTACACGCGATTCTTATTCATTACAATTTATAAATATCCAAGGAATACTGTGCACACGATTGATCTCTCTATGTAGCTTTACTTTTAACGGTAAGAAGGTAAACTAGTCTTTAGTACTCCAACTGCCCGGTTGTACGTTTGCTCATTAGTTTGAAAAACTATAAAAATTGTCCTAATCACGCCCTATAGGAATCGGAATACTCTCTCTCTCTCTCTCACACACTTGGACGAGGAGTCACACTATCAATGTAGATAAACGTGTAAATACAATTAGCTTGCTGCGGAGTAAAAAATATTTCCAGAATACGTTCCTACTACAAGTAAAAAACCACCGTTATCCATAGAAAATTATTGTTACTGCGTATTATCCTTCTATCTCTAACAGCGAGTACAATTTCTCGTTCAGAAATGAAATGCTTGGAGTTCGCAACTGTCACTACAATACACGATGGTCCTTCGATCCATAAAGTGACCAGTGCTACGACTATCGATTTATTAATTGAGTTAATATGAACGTCCGTATAAAAGCAACGTCTCGATATAATTACCGTCCGCGTTACCTTTTATCTGCGAGTTTCAGTGAAAATGTACATACGAGAACTATTTAACAAAAAACAAAAAAAAAAAAGGAGCCTACTAGACACAGTACGACTCTTTCAATGAAACTAATTCATAAATCATATTAATCTTTTAATCATCATTAGAGAATGTCAATTTGAATCTGTGTTCTTAATCATATAGGAAGAAATGGTTATGTAGCTACATTTCTAATAAACCTCATAAAATCGAGGTATATGTGGGGTGAGGGATCAAACCCGGGACCGCCGATTAACGAATCAATGTGCTCGCACACTGAGCCATTCGTTATCCCACAGAGTCACGTGATACTTTAGAAATATCGTAAGAGCTATTAAAAAATAAAATAAAAAAATAAAAAAGGAAGAGCCTACTACCCTAGTAGCAATTTGCTCCAAGACTGATGTAAATCTGAGGAAGCAGATCATAACGTCCTGCTGGCAGAATATGTTAAGAATCTGCGGTAAGAATTTGTAGCATTCTTTTGCCAGAATCTGCACATTACTTCTGCCGAAAGAATCTCATATCAGTCTGCTGACAGACTGCTAATGGATTCTTTACAGACTGCAGTTACAAGAAGAATCTGCTTCAAGGCAGCTCGATTTCTATAGCAAATATCTGCAAACGATTTATTTGCATGTATAGTGCACGAATTTTGCAGTAGATTGCTGTAATTAATTGCACGCAGATTTTGCACGCTAGATTTCGCTAGAAAATGCTACTAGGGTACAGTATGACTCTTCCACGATGTAATTAAACATTCATATCTATTTTTTAATCATCCGTCAGGATGTCAAATGGAATGAAATTTTAATCATTCATAGAAAGGAAAGGTATATAGTTACGTTTCTAATAATTCTTATAAAATCGAAGCATATGTGGAATGAGGAATCGAACCCGTCGATTGCGAATCAACGTGCTCGCACACTGAGCCGATTCGTTACCCCCCGCAGAGTCACGTGATACTTTGGGAATATCAATCCGCTGTGCAAGAGGAACGGCCTTGTAAAAGTACCTAAAAGATCGATCAAAGCGGTCAGGTACGTTTTCACCTTTAGCTTTCGAACTAAAGGCTGCGGAAAGTAACGTTACCCATCAACATGTCTATTCGCAGCACCATGTGTGAAAGAGAACAATTAACTCAACGATAGATATATATGTGTATATATGTGTGTGTTGTGTGTCCATATATATACATACATATATATGCATATATGTATACATACAGATTGAATTAAATATTTTTCGCATTTTTTTTTTAACACTACGTAACTACACGGGGACGTTTACGTCCGACGATACTGTAAGTCTCGAGCTGTTTCTACAAAAATGCGTTATCGAGTAATCGAATCGGAGGTAATTCCTTATTCCTTTTAGAAGAGAGAAGCTCGTGTCGAGCTTTTAATTTAATGGAAGGCAAAATATCTGTTTCAGGAGACCTTTCCGCGGATTCTCATCCTCCATATCGTCATAGTCGTTCTCGTCGTAATTGCTGCTAACGATCGCGTTATTATTGCCTGGGCTGTAAGTTACGTCTGTGATACTTAGAGAACGAGAGCACGCCGGGCTTTCGTATCGGAAGGGGAAGGGCGGCGGTAGCCGATGATGCTCGTTATAATTATTGTCGTTCTCATTCTCCTCCGAGTACGTCATTAGAAATACGTTATTGTGATAACCTTGATTGCTTGAGCCGACAACGGGGAGTAGGGGATCGATACGAAGTTTCGCGAGTCTGTCTTGCAACTCGTACATGTAACACTGCTGCAGCTGATACTGCTGCTGCTGATGATACAGCTGCTGCTGATCGTGATTGTGACGCTGCACAATGAAAAGTGGCTCTTGTCACACGCAGTCCTCCAGTGACATTAATAGAGGGTTCACATACTCAAAACCATCGAATTCGCTCTGGTCGATCTTCTCAATTTGTTTCCTGAAAAATTTTCTTGCATAAGTGTTGCATTCACAAAATTCATTTGACGATGCAAATAAGATAGAATAATTTTATGTAAATTTTTATAAAGATCTTTTTCATTTATTAAATCTTTAAATTATGTAAATTTAGAGAATTCTGTAATAACTTACGGATCATCCGGAGTCAAACGGACTTCCTCATCCGTAAACTCGGGCGGGAAGTTCGCGAGATCGCGATCGGAATCCAAACGTGGCTTGTAGGGTGGCGTAACTTGTTTTTGTTCCAACTGCAAAGTTGAAGAAGATATCGTTGATGAGACTCGTATTTTTTTGAAACAGATAAACATTCGTATCGCGCGCGTTAAAACAATACTTACCATTTCCCAATCGATCGCTTTGAAGAAGGGATGAGCGACAATGTCGAGGAAACCAGAAGGCCTCTTTCCGCAACCCAGCCTCTCCGCGGGATCCTTGCAAAGGAATCCTTTGAGGACAGACGCAGCCTTAACGGATAAGGATCGCGGTATACGTATGGTCTTCTCCAGAATGACTTGAAACAGGAAATCCTCGGTGTTCTTGTCCGGGTCCTCGGCCGCGCCGGTGAGATCGAAGGGGCTGCGGCCCGCCAGCATCTCGTACAGCAAAACTCCCAGAGCCCACCAGTCCACCGAGAAGCTGTATTCCTCGCCACGTAGAATCTCGGGAGCGATGTAATTGGGAGTGCCGCAGAAGGTGCCGGTGTTGTCGCCCTCCCGGATACCTTCCTTACACATCCCGTAATCCGTAAGCTTAACGTGCCCTTCGTGATCAAGCAGTACGTTATCCAGTTTCAAATCCCTATATATGATACCTGAAAGCGAAACGATTATCGAATTTAATTGCGTGTTCCATCTTCCGTCAACTTGTTCGGGGGAAAAAAAAAAGAGAGAATGTCTTACCCTTTTCATGCAGGAAATTCAACGCCAGACTGATCTCAGCCACATAAAACCGCGCGTGGTCCTCGGGAAGACGGCGCTGTCTTTGCATGTGGAACATGAGATCGCCGCCGCGTACGAACTCGATCACGAAGAACAGGCGCGATGGTGTCTGGAAGCAGGAGTGCAGGCCCACCAAGAAGGGATGATTCGAAGCGGTCTCGAACACGTGCTTCTCCGTCTGCACCCAATCGATGTCCTCGTCGTCTGTCACCAGGGACTTCTTGATCACCTTCATAGCGTAGATCCTCTTGGTACGCTTCAGCTCCACCATCAAGACCTTCGCGTAGGAACCACGGCCGATCACCCTAATCAACTCGAAGTCGTTCAGTGAATACTGTCGTTGCATGTCGTTCGAAGTGTCGCCCTCGTTCAGCGTGTCCAATGGCAATTCTTCCCCTTCCTCACGTCCGATTCCTATAAAATCGTAAATATGAAAATTAATAATATAAAAGAAATGTAGCAGTGTAAAAAAAAAGAGATCGTCAAAAAGATGTCTTCTAATCACATGTAAAAAAAAAAATACGGCTTTGAACATAGCTATTAAAAAGTACATGAAATATATTGTCCAATAAATTTCTCAATATTAATCCTATTATACAACAATATCTCTGTAAAAAAAATTATAATTTATCATTTTCTGACTGTGAAAAATGTCGAATAACGCATAACCAATTGCCCATTGAAATTATCTTACGATCGCGCGAACGCTCCTCGATGACCGGTGATTCCGTGATCTCATCCTCGAGATGAGTCCCTGGGCCGCACGGATACGGATCAAGCTGTTGGTCGCCGTTTCTGTCGATCGTCTGCGACTCCGCGCTCTGCTGCTGCTGCTGCTGGCTCAGGCATGGCTTCCGCACCACCTTGTGACACTTTTTGTGCACGAGCAGCTTGCATTGGATGCACTTGAACCCCTGCCGCCCGAGGCCCCAGATCCGATCCTGGCAGAACGCGCAGAAGGCCCGCTGCAAATCAAACCGACGTGGGGCATTATATTGTATATTACCTCCCGCGGACTACCCCGTGTTTATTAGGGGTGTATCGTGTATCCCGCGATGTGGAAGTCGAGCGTTTAAGTCTCACGAGGAAACGCCGCGATAAACACACGCGACTTTAAAACATCCCGGGAGTCAAAGTGTCTGAGACAAACGATAATTAAGTTTAGGTATCCGGTCTTAAACGCAGTCAAATACTTCTCGAAGAGCGAAGTAAAGTACACTGGAGGAAGGAAGGGTATAAACAAAACAGGAGGATTAAGCGCGAGAGACAAGATCCGGGGGAATTCATACATGAGCCCAGTTTCGTAAGGACGGCAACTTTGCATTTTCACCAACACAGAGTCGGAAAGAGAGAGGGGAGGAAAGAGAGAGAGAGAGAAAGAGAGAGAGAGAGAGAGAGAGAGAGAGAGAGAGAGAGAGAGAAAGACAAAGAGAGCAACGCTCCCTTCTGTTCCCTTCGTCGACGACGAAGTCACTAGCCAGCAAGTTTTAGTGTTGGAAGTGCTCTACGAGAGAGAGCTCTACACAGAACGTCAGTTTCGCCACGTTACACCTGCGACAGATCTTTACTTTCGCAAAGATTGCGTATGAAAGAGGAGAACGAGGCGGAGGGAGGGAGGGGGGGCGGGGGAGGGGAAGAAAGAACTCAGAGGGGCGATGAATAAAAGTAAAGGTTGCGCAATGACAATTAAATGGAATGATGCTTACCCGGTTAAATCGTTTCGCCTGAAAAATATGGCCGTTCACACGGTACAGCTTCCTCCATCTACGAGCGCCACGTCTGTAGATGCTTCCTTCGGAAAATGAAATAACATAAATGTCACAAATGACATGGAAAGCACCAAACTGGATGGATCAATTCGCCGCGATCGACTACCGCGATCGACATCCCGTACCGGGAACGACGATGAAACCTCATTATATGCAAATCCAATTAGCATCTAATCAATTATTAATTGTACTACTAATATTTTGTAGTATAACAATTAATTAAATTACTTTGTGACTCCTCTACTAATGAAAAAAAAGAAAAAGAAAAAGAAAAGAAATACAATGAAACTTTAACCGTTCTCTCTAAACATAGCTTTAAGCTCCGGAGATAAGTTATTTTCTCTGCAGTCTCTTTCTGAAGACGCTTACATAATATCTCGTAAGACGTTATATCTTATCCATGTAAAGTCTTCGGTTAGGTGCGCCCGGAAATTTTATTCTGATAATAAAGTTTCGTCGTCGAATATTGTCGAATAACTTGGCAAATTGATTTTACGCCACCATCCTCTCTCCTTTCGCCCGGTCGCAACCGATCGCGCAGTCCAACGACGTGCGGCTTCACCGGCGACGAACGAAGCGAATCGATGCGAACAGAGAGGGGGGGGGGGAACAACATTTCGTGCGAAATGTGTCTCATGCAGCGTCGACGGTGAAAACGCTCGTCGGAATGATATAAAGTTTGTACAAGTCTAAGGGATTCGGAGAAGAGTTTGACGATTGATCGGATTTTGATTCATGCTTTATCCGCGAGTGATTTGCCGAATATCGGCCCCGATGCCAGGGACATGAGGAAGCCTCGATGAATATTAGTCGCAGTTTTTTTATAAAGCCATGCGATTCGAAACGAAAGCTTTTTCCAGTCGCATTCTGACGCGGTGATTTTCAGATTCCCAGGTTTCCTCAGGTCGTCGTGACATCGGTGGAATCTCTGGCTAGCCATTCGGCGACTATCGAGCGACTATATGTACACTATGTACGAGTGTGGCTTTAAGGCTTCTGGTTCCTCGCTGCAGCCACGATACGCGAATTCTTATTCTTCTTACGTTTCATAAAAAAAGAAATTAAAAAAAAAACGAAAACGAAATTAATTCAATTGTTATAACATTATAATGTAACTCACGCAATCTTTTACCACGCAGCCTTACGGACTCTCAAAGAAAATAGATTAACCTTACAACCAATCAAAGTTTGCTGTCATTAATTCACAAACTGAAAAGTCTCTCGTAAGTCTTTCATCCAACACGAGTCGTGATGCGCAAATCGATTAATTTACAAGTTTAATCTTTCGTAGCTGCAACCGAAGGATCAGGAGTCCTCGGGGGCGTTCTCGATGTGTGTTTTCGCAGGCGTTGATGTCATGAAGATTGTGATTGAAGAAACGTTTATCGAGGGGGAAGAGAGAGCTTTGGAGTGCGGGGGTGTGCGAGAGAGCGAGAGATGGATGTTTCCTTCAACGGCTCTTCTGTTTCCGCACGTAAACGGAGTTACGCGTTCGTGTTGTCTGTCTATTGTCGGCGCGCTAATCGTTTTCTTTCCACCGGACGGTTAATTAGAACTCGCTGGCTAGTACGCATCGGGCTAATATACATCGAGCGCAAGCGAGGAGCTGCGCGACCCGGCGGCGGCTCAGACGTATTCCGACGGAAACAGGTAAACACACTCACTGTCTTCTCCCTGGCACGGCATCCCGGGGGCGGGCGGCACGTTCGGGAAAACTGCAACAGAACAGAAAGAATTCACGCTCGCTTTGCTGACAATTAAAACGCTCACGGTTTCCCTCTCTCCCCAGCTTCCAGACAAAATTACGATGGAAACGAATTTGAAGAGTTTCCACCGTCCAGTAATTTAAAACGGTAATTCCCACTTTCCCGTATCTCATAACATTTGATAAAAAGAAATTAAATTTAAAAAAAGCCTAGCGAGATTAATGGATTACGACATGCGATATCTGAAAGAGACGAGAAAATAGTCCGGGCATGAGTAGAGCTGTTAATAATTAATAGCGAAGCCGCTGCGCCAGAAATATCGTCAGAGGAAGACGCTGCGAAAATAATACTTCCTAGTGTCAAAGCGATCGATGATTCAAGACTGCGTATTTAATTTCACTGACGAGACGCGTCCGCGTCGTGTGTCGCCGATCGACGCCACTCCCCGGGCTCTCGTCTCGCCGAGGGAGGATTACGTCGGTATTGGCAAAGTATCGGGATTGACGCAAAGTGATCGGGAAGCGGGCGAACTTACACGGGAAGCAATTCGAGAACCCGATCGAGATTCGCTGCTCGTTGTCCAACATTCTTGCTGTGTATACTATAGCTCTGCCTGGTGTCCTAGCCGCGAGCGCCTCTGTCCTACTCCGTATCGCTCCGGTTACGGTCAGATAACGAGTAACACTGAATTCTATCCGTGCCATCGAGCGCCGCGTTATCACTTATCGCGAAAAAGAGAGAGAGAGAGAGAGAGAGAGGCAGCGGCGCGTTCGCGATTAAATTTCCCCGCAACTTCGCGCCGATAAAAAGCCGCGCGCGCGCGCGCGATCGACGTAAAGTCGACCGGCAGAAAACCTTCGCCGAAGGGATCCTGGTGCCGGACGTTTTTAATCTCGTTACTCGGCCGAGACATCGAGCCGAGTTAATCCTCCCGCCCAGGAGCGCGGTCACACACACATATACATGTATAAGCGCGCGTGTAAATTCTAATTAGCGAAGGACGAGCGAGGACACCGAGCCCTTTATCAGAACGATCCCGCGGGCGCGCGCGCGGTGCGTACAATAGAATGATGATTAAATATACAATTAAGTATATTGCGTCGCGTGTCGCGACGGGCAGATAATGCTTTATGAAAAGCTCTGAATTCAGAAAAGGAATGAAAGCCGGCTGCGCGGTTAATGAGTGAAATAAAATTGGGGCCGCGAATTGTTCCGGATTATTCGCTTTAACGCTCTTTAAAGCGACCATCCGGACTTGGGGGGGGGGGGGCTAATGTCAGCTGGTGTGCATCGCGGCCACCGCGACGAGATTTGGAGAGCAAGATTGAATAGGGTCTGAAGTAGGAGGCCGCGAAAAAAAAAAAAAAAAACTATTACCGAAGGTCGCGACGAGAGAGCGGACAATAGGTTTTTGTCTGGAGGCACGTGCTTCGATCAAGCAAAACCGCCGATCTTTCCGCAAAACTCGAAAATAGGATCCTCCGCTCGAGCGATACTCGATGGATGTTATGTAGGTTGACGGACAATAGACCTATGGAACAATCAATGGCACGAATTCGTTAATAGATTTTTTGCCAAAAATAAAAAAAGAAGAAAGAAAAAAAGAATTAAATAAATTTAAATCGATTCGAGGCCTGTTCGAGGTGGACAGGTCGAATAAATTCATAAGTGAATAATGCAGAATTATATAAGCGGAACGAACGCATTATAATCGGTTCATTTAAAACAGAGGTTTAAATCAATTTATAATAAATCTATTTAGTCCATTAACAATTGAAATGTCTGGATTATGAAAATGCCGCGGGCGCGCGCGAGCACGCGCGAGATCTGTTAAATACTAAATCTGACAGGGAATCCATCGGCCGGGGAAAGATTAATGATACGTCTTGCTAAAGTGACTCTCCGCGGGGCCTCTATCACATGAATACGAGACGAGGCGCAGCCGCGTGGATACGACGCGTGTCATACGATCGCGGGTTTCGCTAACGAGGCCATCGGTGCTCTCCCGTTGGTACAATACACGTAATCGAATCGTTTGTTACGTGGGGAAGAGAAGGAGCGAGAGAGGGAGAGAAAGAGCGTTTACCGCGGACGCGTATCGACGACGCCGGGACGAGAGGTGTACATGCCGGCGCGAGAGGTGAGCGCAATTCCTTGAAATATTCATGGACTAATTATCGCGGAGGGGGATCGATGACAAGGGCGATAAAGACGATGCGATGTACACTCACCCCTGTAAACGCAAGGGGGAAGGGATACGTGCAACGAGCTGTATGCGGGATGCACGATACGACGACCGCGACGACGACGACGACGACCACGACGCGTGGCACCCCTAGAAGCTTGTGGATCTATAATGGTAAGTGCATAAGTGCACCGGCGAGTATATACACCCACGGCGCGCGTGGGAAGGCAACAACGAAGATCGTACTTCATACTTTAGGAACCGTCCTCCGCGCAACTGGATCGCCGCGAGTAACGCGGCGTCGATACCAATACATACATACACGGCCGAGCCTCTAATTCATGCTCTAAATTAAACATCGCTGGACAACGGTGCTGCATTCGTTGCCCTCGATTGCGCGAGCTAGAAGAGAAAAAAAAAAGATAAAGTTTATCGTCAAAGCAACGCCGCGCCGCGCCGGCGAGATGATAATCGCCTTTGTCGCGTAACGCGCCGCAAGGAACGGAGGACAAAATGACAATAACGCCCGTGAAGATGCATAATAGGTTTATAAATGAAAGATGCGAGCGTATTTAAAGAACCCGATAAACCTTGCCGACTATATTTAATCGTGATTATTCTGTGAAATTAAATGCGAAAGAGGTGGAAAAACGTGAATTATGTCATCAATTAAAATGCGATCGGATAAAAGCACACGATATGTTGAGCGGAATAAATTTGATATAGCGTAGAAAAAAAGTTTCTCCATCCATCATAAGCGCGACGCGGAAAAAAAAAGAGAGATGCACTAAACCGGGCGACAACTTCGAGCGGCAACTACCACCACCAACCCTTTACTTTTAGCGAGGACAAAGTCGCGATAATTAATTCACGTGACCGACTTAGAGTTTTATATTACTGCAATGCGCTAAACGTCCGCGGCCGCGACGATTTCCGTCAACAAATGCCGGGCCGAAAAGGAGGGCGCCGGAGAGGACTTTGCGGTCCCGCGAGTTATGCGGCGGCGGCGGACCGGAAGACACGCGTTTTTCTGGGCGTCGCGCGTCCGGCGGGATATCGAGCGAGATGCATCGGACGCGATCGCGCACTCACAAGAACGCGTGATATTATCTTGGCGAGGTAGACAGGCGGGCAGACTTTGACCTAGATCACGGACTGCATCAAAGAAACACAACGGAAGAGGAGGAGGAGGAGGAGCAGAAGGAGAAGGGCGAAGCTGGTCGCGCGCCAGAGACGAGCTCTTCCTCAATGCATCCCTCTCTCCCTCTCTGTAGGCTGCACCTACCCCAGGTGATCTCGTTGAACTGGAACTGCGACGGGCCCGCGGGCTCGACGTCGAGCAGCGACGTCATCGAGAGCGTGGGCTCCGGTGGCAGCGAGAGCGGCTGCTGGCTGCACGGCCCGTGCACCCGGCACGTCGCGCTCGGTGTGATGCCGTAAATCAGCTCGGCGTTCGCCGTCACCTCCTCGAGCTCCGCCTCGGACAGCTCGTCCATACCCTCGTCCGGCGGGCACTGGAGCATCTTCGTCACCCTGGACGAGGTGCCGGGCTGCGCGAAGATGTCGTCGTGATGGTGGTGATGATGGTAGTGATGGTGATGCGGCGGACTGCCGAGGCAAGAGGGCGGCGAGATGTCGGCGGAGCGCAGGTGGCCGACGAGCGGCTGCTCGTACTCGGCCGAGTCACCGCTGCCCGGCGACGGCGGATGCGTGCTGGTGCCGGGTCTCACGTGGCGCTCCCGCGGTAACACCTGGATGCCGGTGGAGGTAATGGAGGACGGACCGCTACCCTCGACGACGGTGGGGATGCGACGGTTCATGGCGGCGGCCGCGGCGGCCGCCGTCGCCGCCGAGTACGAGTAGAAGGAACCACCCTGGATCATCATGCTGCAGGGTGGTTCCTCCGTCGCGACCCCCACGCCGGGGACGGTCACGCTGAGCTCGCGCTCCTGCACGGTGGCGTAAGTGCTCTGCGTGGTGGCGTACGGGCTCTCCGTCTGGTGCATTTGTTGCTGCTGCGACGATGGCTGATGCGGATGCAGGCTCTGATGATGTTTGTCCTTCTCGCGGCGAGGTGACCGACCCCGGTCGCTAACGGTCGCGCTCCAATAGCCCCACGCCATTCTGCAGCGAGTCTAGCCGTGCTTGCCTCGCCTTGCTCGATCACCGCGGTATGTATATCCCCTTTTATTCGCTCCAACCGCGCGCGATCGCCTCGCCTCTCTGTTTTCCTCTTGTTTCGCGGCTCTCTCTCTCTCTCTCTTCTCTTTCTCTATATACGTATACCGATTGCCTTAACCGCCTCGCCCCTTGCCTCGTTCTTCCCTTCTTTACGTTTCGTCTCTCTCTCTCTCTCTCTCTCTCTCTCTCTCCCCTTCACCGCGGTCGACCTCTTACAGGAGCCGCCGGGATGAGCATGCGACGAATCCACCGGCCTCGATCAATGCTAGTTTACCGCCTCTTTTGAGACCTCTCGCCACTCCGGCGGTGTGGCCGAGCCGAGCGCGCCGACAACCACCGTAGAATATCGCCGCCGTACTCAGGGCGCTGCACGATGACGCAATTCCCTCTCTGTGGCTCGGCGAGCACGTTCGAAGGGGACGTTCCGTGATCTCGCGGCGACTACCGGCGCTCGACTTCCTCCTTTCCACGTACACTTTCTTCCCGCCTGCGGCGACCCGATCTTGGGGGGATCTCTCACCAGCCAGGGTTTCGCGTCGACGGTAGCGCGACGGCGTATAACGTGTGTGTGTCTGCGCGCGCCCTTGCTGATCGGTCCGTGCAAGGATATCGACTACTGCCGCGGCGAGATGCGTTAACCGCCGCCGCCGCCACCACCGCCGTCGTCGTCGCCGCCGCCGCCGCCGCCCGGCGCACGCTACCGACCGAATCGCGCAAACGCGGATCACGCCGAGGTAGAGGTGATACATGTATCCCCCCCCGTCGTCCCTCCTCGCTGCCGATCCTACACCCGCCTATCCACCCACAAGTTCTGCCTCTCCCAAGCTCTACCTCTTTCCCTACACCCGCTCGCCCTTCCACCCTCCTTTGTACCTTTGCTGTTTGCTCCACTGATTATCCAGCGATTCTTCTTGTCGCCGTTTTCAAGCAAACTTTGTGTGCCTCTCCTCGCCACCTCGTATTACATTATATTCCCCGTCCTTTTCGTTAACTTCACTTCTTCCCGTCACCCGTTTTCTCTGCCCTTTGTATCCTGCTGCTCTTCCCCGGGCGGGAGTTCCAAGGAGGAGACGATTCCGTTTCACAACGCACCAAATGCAATACCAGTCCATTCTACTTCATCCCTTGCTCTATTTTTCTGGCTTTCCACCATTTTTCATTTTGACCGTTGGCTCTTCGTCTCTTTGAATTATTATCTTGCGTTTCCCGCGCCCTTCGGTCGCTGGCCCCCCCGTCGATTCTTCCTCGTTCCTTCGTGACAGCGTGCAGTCATCGCTACTGCCGGCGACCGATACCGCGTACACGTTTTACAAGGATTGACGCGCCGTTATATGCATCGAGAAATTGAGATTCTGCCGATATCCGCGCAACGATGTCCGGTCGTTTTTACATACACGCGAATAAAATACGTATATCGAGTCTCGTTTTCATTAGCAAATCATTGATTTTTCACGAAGCTCCGGAAAAAGAGAAAGAGAGAGAGAGAGAGAGAGAGAGAGAGAGAGAGAGAGAAAGAGCTGCAATCTCGCTAAGCTACGCTTAATAGGGAAATTATTAATGGAAACAATACATTCAACCTGACTCCGCAATCCTTCGGAGATCAAGTAATTTTAATTAGTTGTACTTTCTCATTATTTTATAGTGCTCTCCAGGGAAAGTTTGCCGTCGATACTTTCGACGACCCATACTTCGCAAATTAATTCCACTTCGTTCAAAAACAGGGAAATATATTCGGCGCGCGGTCACGCTCTTGCTTCTCTTTGAGACATTAATCTTTGGAGCTCGAAGGGTTTGTTTTGTCAAAGGGGATTCGATCGTCATTAAAGTTGCACTGAAAGGAGAGAAAGGAGATGTGAAAAAGAGAGAGAGAGAGGGGGGGGGAGAGAAGGAAAGAGAACTGAAACTGCCGAACCGGAAATGTATGCGCGATCACGATACGCTCCTTCTCTTCCGAGAAGTATCTCGCCGCCGCACAAATGAGATCCCCATATCGAATTATCTCGGGAGATCTCGGGCGAGCTGATGAATTTCTAAGCGCAGTATCACGCTCCGACTACGTAGAATCCTCGCGGACACGCAGGCACGCGCGCGATCCGAGAATGTTGTCATCCTTGAGGAATTGCTCCGTAGGATCGAATGAAGTATATTTGTGTGCCGAATAAATACATACTTCATTCGATTCCGATGGCGCGAGTCCTCAAATAAACACACCGGCGCGCTACACGGTCAGGCGCCGATGAAGCTGTTTCTCGCCGTTAATCGCCGACTACGTATCGGCGATAAACCGAGCCGATAAGGCGAGGAGGAGCACCGTCGAGGCGTGTACGTGTACATACCGTTATCCGAGGCGCGCATCGATACTCGGAAGGCGCTCGCCGGCTGCGCCGCTTCGCACACGTGCATTTAGTACGCTACCGCTAATATGCACACAGGCCACCAAGATATATCGGTTTGCGCGCGATTTATGGACGACCTCTTATCTAAACGGCGGCCATTAACGGCGGAATAATAAAGACATCGGTGGACATTATCGATGAACCTATTTTGTCGCATACATATGCATGCGCTCCACCGCCACGCACCGGGCGCTGATTCTACGTGCACATGATTCATGAATACGGTACTCCATTCCTAATTATGTAAGTGCCTAGCATGCAAGCGATTATCGTTGGGCGCGATGCGCAGTCTTTTGAGCGATTTAATGCGTCGCTAAAATCAAAGCAACATGCGAGGATGATTGCGAGATTCAGTGCATTAAAAAAAATATTTAAAAAAATAAAATAAAAACAATCCAATTCAAACAGCCTGACTGACCGTGGATGGTTATTTCCGTGTCCTTCTCGAGCTCGTACAGCCTCAGCGCCTCATCCAACTCCTGCTGCGAGGCGATCCTGCACGGGTCGCCCTCGTCGTCCACCCACTTCATCGTGAACTGCTCCGTGCCGAAGCCGCATATCGTTCGCATCTCCTCGCGCAGCGCGTCCACTGAAATCCCCGGAGTGATGTACGTGATTTGTATCTCCCTAAATGCAGGAAAAACATCAAGAGTCACACATCTATTTTTTAAAATTTCTAAAATATATATAAAATTTTCTTTAACTTGGTATAATTGATTTTATTGACACCTTCAATATTCTTTACTAACTTTCCGTTGACTTAATCCCGAAAACATTTAATGTGTTATATTTACTATTAAATAATTAATATGATTAATTTTGTTACAATGAATTTTATTTAGAATTAAAATAATAAGCGCACTTTAAAAATATAACAATATAAAATTTTATATTGAAATTAAAATAATAAGCAATTTAAAATTCACGAGAAATTAAACATTACTCTCTCAAAGATCAAAGACAAATCGACAAATTTAGAGCAATTTTTATAACAACATATATTACCCATTGTATACAATTTTCACCCGAATGTCATCGTTCTCTGCCGTCTGTGTAGGCATTTTCAAAACACAATGGTCCCCTATTCTGAAAGTATAATAATGCAACCAAACAATTTTAGTGAATGAACAACACAAAAAAAACTCAAGCGGAATTCACGTCATTCACGAGTTCAGAATCATCGTAGCGCGATTGTCGGAATTAATGACGTAATGAAAACACAAACATTACCGTGAAAACGCCCGACAAAATCCGGAATATAGCGATACAAAATCCAACTTTCCCACGGTTGACGCACGATCGCGGTTACGCCGATTCGACCGCCGCTTTGTCGTTAAGGAAAAAAAAAAAAAAAAAGAGAGAGAGACCAGGATATTGAGTAACAGCAATCACCGAGAAGAAAGGGAGCACCAGATTCGATTCACGGGTGGAACGGGAGAGCGGAGTACGCGAGAAATCGGCACCGGTCGGCGGGTGCCAGCTCTCCTTTCGCGCAGCACGGTCGGTCCCCCGGGTCTGCCCGCGGACCCGTGACAATCGTCCCGCCTTCCGCTGTCAATTAGCGGGCCCGCGACGGTTCGCGTTAGCAAGTGCGTGCGCGCGTGCACGAGTGCCTGCCCGTGACTCACCGCGATGAACCGCCGTCGCGAACCACCGCCGCCGCCGCCGCCGCCGCCGCCACCGCCGCCGCCGTCGTCGTCGCCGCCGCCGTCGCCGTCGCTGCACTAGTTGCACGCACCTTCTGCGGATCGCACGGGCCGAGAGAGATCGTCGTCTCTCAGGGTGAGCTCCCCCCGCCCCGGCTTGTTGCGTCCCTTGCACGTAGAAGAACGTAGAAATACGGCTCGCTGGCGCGGAACGCGGAGTGATGCGCGCGGCGACGCGGTAACATCAAACCTAAAAACCCGTAAGGCACTCTCGTTGCGCGGCGTGGAGCGTTGTTACTTGGCAGACGCCATGTTTGTTCGTCACCGACTCGCGCGCCAGCGGGTGCGCGGGCTTCGCGTCGGATGGCGCCACTCGTCCGGTTTCGCGCGCCCACGTGGGAAAAAGAAATCGTCTCTCGCCCGGACAATTGTGTCAATTATTGTACGCAATGTTTATGACTTTCCCGATTTTCTCTACTTTACGTACAATCGACACGAGATACTCGATTCTGCGTGAGAGTAGGAAGAATTGTATGTTTCCTCCAAATCCATGCTTTACCTTTCAGAGGCTTCGAGGCGCGATTTTTAATAAAAATCGAGTTGATTAAAATCCAGATTAATTCAATCGGCAGAATTGCTTAAAACAAAATATTATATCCAACTATAAATTCGCATAGTTTCAAATCTAATCTTTTTTTTCCATAAAATAATAAAATAGTTAATGATTTTATTCGAATTATTATAAGAGTAATTTTATATGGATTACACTTATAACAAAATTAAATTTAATCGATGATCAATTCACAGCTAACATAAATCGCTTACAATGCATTTTTAGCTATATATTTCATTATTTCTAATCTGATTTTTCCTCTCTGCATTAGACAATAAAATATTAATGATTCTAACGGATTAAGAAAATAATATGGCTATATTTTATACTTACAAATAAATTAATCGGCAATTATTTAATCAACAGAATCACTTGCAGTGCAATTTCTATAGCTGTATAATTTGAATTGTTTCTCATCTAATTTTTCTTTCCACACGCATGTCAAACAACAATAAAATTATACTTCTAGCTATATATCAACGAGATATCTATACTTATTTGATAAGTTAATCGCCAGGAGTCGAAGTTTGAAATTTTATCTTAACGCTTCCGAATTCGCGCTAATCAACCGCTATATAGCGCTCCCGAGAGAGCTTAGGATATGTTCCCCTGATAACTCCGCCGATGTCTAGAGAGTACAATCGATCCCCTTCCATCGAACTCCTCGAATCAACTCTCGCGCGTACACTCGCCGTCCCCTGGATCTGCCGTCGCAGTGGACGGCCGGCTCCGGCGAATTCTATCGGAAACGCCGGGACAGTCCAATCGACGGGGGTGGCCGAGGTATGCGATTCAAAATGATGACGATGATGATGCGGGTGTAGATGCGTCAGCGCTCAGCGATTCGCGGCGCTTATCTCCCGCCGCGCTTGTTCATTGTTGCATGTTGCAGCTACATTCAGACGCGCGATCCGCGTCGGATTTGTTCTCTCGGGCTGTTCCCACCCCGTCCCCGACTCCGCGCCTGGCAGAGCCTACTAGGTTTCCCTACCTCCCGTCGTGTGGGAGTGTGTTGTGCTATGCGCTGATGCGCTCGTGACGCCGAGTCTATAGCGGGCCTAGCCACTCCAGCCTAGCCTAGGTCTGGGCGCTTCGCTGGGCTGCGTGTAGTGTCGTGTACGCAGTAGCTCGCGCGAGGGTAGTGCCGCGGGATGTAGACATCCACGACGCGTCGCACCCGCTCGAGGAAGAGACCGCGCGAGTCAGAGAGAGACGGGGGCGGGGGGAGGGAGGGGGAGAGGTGAGAGCAGGTGGGCTTTCGCGACTCGCGCGGGACTTCGCGGCTCGGCGATCATGATCGTGAGTTGACACGTCGTTCCCGTCGTCGGTCGCGCCTGCCGCAGCGTTAAATGCCGCCCGCGCCAGCCGCAGAATGGACGTCGCGGAGGACGCCGAGGCTGCGCTGGACCCGCGTATCCAGGTGAGGTGGAGGCTCCCTCGGGGGGCCCGAGGGTCTCGCGCTCTCGCTCCGGTCTTGCTTCCCCCGCGCGTGGCGTCGACGCCCGTGTGGCGTTTTTAGGTTAGGTCTCCTCGCCGCGGCGGTGCCTAACACCGCCTGGTACATTGTCCCACTTTGCTTTCACTTTCCTTCCCCTCGCGCGGATGGACGTACCCGAGGGGCGCGAGATACGCGAGACACGCGGGTAGCTCGATCGCGTCTGTCTTCCGCCTGATGACGTTGTCGTTCCGCGAGGAAAGGAGATTGGGGGAGGCTTCTTTGGGCTTCAATTAGGGGAGACCTCGAGACGTATTTCTTCTTTCTTTCATCCCTGATGGTACACGTCTGTTCTTTTCAGCTGAACTTCTTGCACGTTTTCCTCTTTCATTTTTCCTCTTTCCTCCTTCATTTTCCTCTTTCATTCTTCTCGCTTTTCCTCCTTCCACGTTGGAGAAAAAGGAGAATACATATAAACAGTGTAGGAAGCTCAGCTAGAAAAAGAACAGACCCATTTTATATCTTTAAAGAGAAATTAAATGATGTGAATATAAATTAGAGGGTGGAAAAGTATTCTCTTGTTTATAATGAGATAATTTGGATGTATAGCGTGAAACAATATCTTTCTTTTCTTATACTGACACGTTGCGATTAAAATAAAAATGACAGTAATTAAAGGTGGATCTCTAACTCTAAAGCTTACAGCATACAATATATAATTTAAATTCCAAGTGGACATGAGATTCAATTGGGAAAGTTTTACATTGAGATGCGCTCCTCCTTTCATTTTTCCCTGTGGTATTATATCTAAAAAGAGAAATAAGTAAAAGTGTTCTCTTTTCTCTAATGAAATAACTGAATTCCTAATTTAGATAATAATTTAGCATGGAGTAATAATATCTTTTCATGTACTGGAATGTTGCGATTAAAGTAAACAACAGTAATTAAATAGCGATCTTCAATTTTAAAGTCTGTGGACATGCAATACGTAATTTAAATTCCAAGTGAAAAAATTCAAGAATTCATATCTGATATGATCTCTTTTTGGCATTTTATTAAGTTATATAAGTTATAAGATAATATCTCATATGATAAATTTGTCCTCTAGATCGAGTTGGAGAATTTGAACAATGCAGCAGATAATATTAATAAGCTGGAGACTGAATTGGATGTAAGGAAGAGTATTTCATTTATAAGTTGAAGAAGAAAGATAATGTATTTGCAATATTTATTTTATCTTTATTCACTTTTAGGAAGCTCACACTGCTTTTGGGCAGCTTCTCTCGGACACAACGAGGAGGCTGAAAGAAATTACGGATAAACAGGGCACTAGCTGCATTGAGAAGGCAAGATGTTACTACGAAGCACTGGAGATGGCTCACCAAGCTCAGGTAGAGACCTAGTCAAATCTAATTTTATTACGTGCCACAAAATAACAAATACAAAAACGTATGTACTGAGTTATGTGGAATTTTAGAAAATTCAGTAAATGTTTTCAATGGCCTCAAAATGTTTTCACGATGCTCTCGAAGGGAATTGCCATTGAACGCGTAGCGTGATTACCGCACGCTGCGCGTTCTACTCTGATGCTTGCTTTAATAGCGGCATGAATGAGCATATCCTGCTATGCCCGGTTGAAATTCCACTCGTGCTGATTTGACATGGCTCGCTACTTAATGCAATTAAAATAAAGTTTTGTAAACTCAGTACGTATCGAAAGTTATAACTGCACGAGACTCGTTTACATTGTCATTTACTTTAGTGCAACTCATTAATTAATTTTGATATATTTATATCTATGACAGCAAGAAATTTTTAATCGCTCTTGTTGTCTGAATATAACATCTCACGTTTAAAGTAATTCGTCATACTGCAGATTATAAAACTAGTTTTTGTGTTAGACAAATTTAAATTATAACTAGCTGGACGGTTATATAAGTGAAGCAATGAGACATTTCCTCTTGCAATTTGCAGGTGCAGTGTCAACAACAGGCGCAGCTGTTTCAAAGAGCCAGCGAGATTCACGCAGCGGCGAAGGAAACTGTCGCTTTGGCCGAGGCGCGATTCATGTCTCATCAGCATGAGTGGAATTTTGACCAGGCATGGCAGGATATGCTCAATCATGCGACTATTAAAGTAAGTGTAAGATTAAAATGCACAGCACGATGACCGTGCAATTTGCTTCTTACAAAGTAATGCGAAACATTTGAAATGTCCTGTGATTACACTATATATATATATATATATATATATATATATTATTTATTCTTGTCCGCCCCATTTAATTAATTTAATCAATTCACCAATGATCAATTTCTAATAAAGGAAACGTAGAATAGCAAAATAAAGTGATATACTCTTTGTCGAGGTCATGGACGCGGAGAATCAAAAAGCGGAGTGCGGTCGAGAACATCACAGAAGGGCGATGCTGTTCCACGAGGCCGAGAAGAAGCTACTGCAACTGGAGGAAAAGCATCGAAACGCAATAATAAAAGCGAGGCCGTACTTCGAGGTGAAGACCCAGTGCGATCAGATGCTGGCGACGCAGAAGGAGAGAGTGGAGTACCTGCAGCAAGCTGTTAAGGAAGCCAAACGTAATTATGCAACGAGTCTCCGGACGTTGGAAGAGATTAGCAACCAGATGCATCAGCAACGAAGGGATTATGGTAACATGAATTATATTTTAGAGACATACATGAAATTATATTTGAATTATATTTAGAGGAATATATTTTAGAGACATACACGAAATTATATTTGAATTATAACTTAAAGCAATATATTTTAAAGATATACACGAAATTATATTTTAATTATAATTTAAAGCAATATATTTTAGAGACATACACGAAATTATATTTGAATTATATTTAGAGGAATATATTTTAGAGACATACACGAAATTATATTTGAATTATAATTGAAAGCAATATATTTTAAAGATATACACGAAATTATATTTGAATTATAATTGAAAGCAATATATTTTAAAGATATATACGAAATTATATTTTAATTATAATTTAAAGCAATATATTTTAAAGACATACACGAAATTATATTTTAATTATAATTTAGAGGAATATATTTTAGAGACACACACGAAATATGTTGTTAATAATGTGTTTCTTTTGTTTTTTATAAACATTATATTTATATTTTAGATATTGTGGCTAATGGACCGCGAGAGCCTGGGGTTGGTGCGGAACTCATTAGTTCGGACACACGCCAGAAGTATAAGAACGAGTTCTGCGATCCCGATAATCGTAAAATATCCCCCATTAGATATAACGAAAACGGGAACAACGAAAAATTGCACGATATCAAAGTCCGTAAAATATATAATGATTCATCTCGTATAGAGCAATTGGAATTGTCGATTTCTATCGTTTTTATTTGTTAATTTTCAGAAGCCTTGCTCGACGAGGAGCGACGCGGAGCACCTCGACAAGAGATCCGTCGACGGCAGCGAGAGCAAGTTCACGCAATGGGAGCTCGAGCTGCAGACCAGTATGGAAAAATTAAATCGCTTGTCGATCGAGAATTCGTTGCGCGTCAAGGAGCGCGGCGCGCAAGGTTCGTCCGACCTGCGGGACGCGGTTGAAGCCGGCACCACGAACGGGACGTGCTACAATCCTTCCGAATCACCTAACACGCGTAGTTCAAATCAATTTTCAAGATCGACTGAAAATCCGGGGACTATCGACAGATTTAGCGGCAGATCGCACCTGCTGAAATCGTGCTCGACAATTGACTCGACGACGGCGTTACGCGGCGCGTCGGCGCCCGCTTCGGCGAGCAATACTTCAAAATCGCTGAACGGCAGTCCCGTGAACAGAGGTACGTCCGATTTCGAGACTAGGATCGCCGGGAGAGCGGGAAGCGCGGATATATCGAGATACGTGCCAAACAAAATCCCTCAGTTCAATATTAAGGACAGGAGAGCGCAGAGCAGCTGGGACATCAACGCCCCCAGCAACAGCGCCGACGTGGATGTCGCGAGTGAGGAGTCTGAAAACGATAGCTGTAGTAGTGCGAACGATACCTTAGCCAATAAGAGCCGCGTACAACTTACGAATTTACGTAGCGCGCAAGTTTCCAATGTCGAGTTCCTGCCAGCGTCTCATCCTGTCGGCCAGCACCCGACGAGCTCGCAGGACGACGTCGCGTCATCGCAGCCACGTTCCAGCTCGAGTATTCCGCAAAAGAGCGCGTCATGCAGTGCCAATTCCAGTCCGATAAAACTGAAGAAACTAATATCGTCCGCGAGATCCCTGGACACTGGGAGCGCGGACCGGCTCGACAAGCAGGGCTCCACTAGCAAGAGATTCGCGAGCAAAACCGCCAGTATTAAAGAGCTACCGTTACTATCGCTCTTCGGGCAAACGTCCGCGTTGTCGGCGCTGAGAGGCAAGAGCAGCAGCATGATCAATTTGGGCGGTAAGGCCAACCTGAAGACGCTGCTGGATAACTCGCATCTCGGTAACATACAGGCGATCAGCGCGGAGAGATTGGCGAACGTGAGGCACAAGTTGGTCAACGATTGTCCGGAGGCGAGGACGACGGGCGACGTTAAGAAATAATGAAGTACAAGAGAGAAAATAAATATAGATCGCTTACGATAAGTGATTTCTGCGTTTAACACGTGTGTAAGTATTCGTTAATGTTCGTTCACAGGAAGCTCGGAAATCGTGAATCGTTCGGAGATGAGAACGTTGCGGCGAGAACGACGTTAACTTTTAACAACAGTCTCGCATTTCCGAGGGAAAAGAGAGAGAGAGAGAGAGATACGAAAGACATTTCTGTAGCTTTGCTGCAAGTTACGCAGCAGCTGGTTATTGAATATATGCTGCAACGTTAATTAACGATATGTATTATATAAATCCTCGCGAATTAATTAGGTGTTAATACCTTACTTGTGTATTAAAGCTAAACGTAATCACGGTATTGCGGTCGAAGAAATGTGATTATCGTGGTATCTTTCCCGCACGGATTAATTAAAATACAAATACTACGCGCTCGAAGTCCCAATTAGGCAATATAACTGCTGTTAAGAAAAAAAAACCGACCAGGCGATGTACGCATCGTATCGTTTACTATTTTCTAATCTTTTAATATGTGCTTTTTTAATAAAACACGTGTTTCTTAACAAGCAACCACATGTGTATATCTCATTCACACGACCGGTAGTTACTTTCTGTCGCGGTATTTGGCGTTGAAAAAAAATAACTATTTGCGAGAGATACGCCGCCTTTTTTTACGAGCGCAATGCAAAGGCGTCGATGATTATCGGTCTGCTTTTAATTCATAAATTCAGGAGGTACAGCCGTTTCGTAGAGGACAGATATCTACATATCGGACGCACATACATTCCGCGCAAACAGATAGATATCGAGGTGGAAGCGCATCGATTGAATGTACGACGAGCATGGGAGAGCTAAAGGTCAATGACTTTTTATCGCATATCGTTTCGCCGGTGCAAAAAAACAGGCTCCTATCTAATTGTGAGTTAAGGTTGAACGCGATTTTTTTAAGCTCCCCGCGGGAGGGAAGCGCACGAATGAAACGGGCCATCGAATTGTCTCGCGGCGATATCGCGCTGATATCGTTGCGGCCCTGCTTCTTCTTTGTTCCGAGAGACGACAAGATGGCCTTATACATCTGATCTAAATACCGTGGCGTATCGAGCATTTTCTTGGCTCCGACGAGTGTAAATTCTCTTAGACTAAATTAACAGCGAATCGAGAACGCTTGTCAATTGGAGTTCAATCGGTCGTCGAATAATTCATTGCGTCACGAGTCACTTCGGAAATTCAGAAAAGATCACGTCTCGCGCGCCCCTACAATAATATCTTCTTTAAATTCCGCCAAGAAATAATACTGCCAAGGAGAGAAAATTAGCTCTCTCTGAATCTGGGTAAGCTCGTCGATAAGCGGTCGGCCGTTTCTCGTGGAGGGTAATATACTACTTAATACGCAATAATGACACATGCTTAATGACAAATTGCTTGGTTAATTTTGTGCCAATTAGACGTTATCTAAAAATAGGATAACGAGCATAGGTAATGTTTTTTTCAATTAGTCTTAATTGGATATTAATTTTAACTCTTAATGAAGAGGAGTTGAAATACAATATGATACGTAATGTTGAAAGTAACGTAATCGCGAAGAGAAATGCATGATGATTGTATCTACATTATTAGATATAAAACTCCTAAATTTTATGAAAGAGAAAAAAAGATACATATTTATGAAGGATATATGCTTTGCATGGCAGACGCGAGTTTCAAACACCGGAAACTGCAATCTTGCATGTTACGATAGACGCGCTCGTGGCGAAGATCGGCCGATCGTCCAGACACGCGTCATCGACGAAAGGTTATCAGTAACTGGGTGATAAAACGCCCGGCCGAAGATGCTTCGCGAAGAAACCGACAACGAGAGGGTCGATTATAGAGCCGCCAAAGCCGACGGCCGCGTGACAAATAATCATCGCAAGGCATGTGATATCTGTACGCACGAGACTGCGGACAACAAAGACGCAAATCGCAATTCGGTTTATCACAAAATTTACTCGATAAGGGAGATTGTAGATCCTCAAGTTTTAACGTAACTTTCGCATCCGATGTTTTTTTTTTCCAATCAATTATCACGAACGTGCAATTTTTTCTACGGGAATAAACCCTGTAAAATATTACTAATCTATTCTTTATGAGAGCTAATTATATTAGAAATATTATTTATCGGTGTTATACGAAGTTGATAATTATTTTGATAAATTTATTTGCAATAATAATGTAAATTTTAATCGAGATTAGAATATTGTTTACCGGTATTATATAAAGTTAATTAATTATTTTGATAAATTCATTTGCAATAATATTGTGAATTTTAATCGAGAATTACTGGAATTTGTTTGCCGAATCTGGCAATTGCTAAATTAACGGTGGACTCATTTCGGTGAAGAGAAATATCGTAGGGATTAATTTATCTCCATCTGTCGCATTGTAGGGATTAAATTATCGCCATCTCGTTCGAAAATATTCGGATAACGAAAATAGAATGCAGAAACGAAAGGAATTCTCTAGCGAGGCTACGGAGGACGAGGCGGAAGACGAAGAGCAGGAGGTCGATGAAAATCGGAGCGAGGAGGAAGATGCAAAGGTTCAGAAAGTAGGTGCGAACCAAGAAAAAGAAGAAGCGAACGAAAACGAACAGGAAGCTGCGCAGATTGGACACTGCGCGATTTGTCAAGTTATCATTAACGACGCGAATCTCGGCGGAAGCATCGCCGACTCCGAGCAGGATTCCGATGGTTATCTGTTGTGTCAACGTTGCATACGGAACTTTTCAATCCGATCAGGTCAATAAAATATTAACTGTTCGTTATATTATAGTAGAAATTTGAAAAAAGAAAATTGAGATTTACAAAAAATTTCCAATATTCGCACAATAGTCTCTTTCAAAATTGTACCTTTCATCAGATATTCATGCAGAACTTATTTCTCTTTTTGTGTTGCGAGAGGAATCAACGTTCCAAAAAAAAGAGAATCTTGAAAAAATCTTAAAACATTTATAAATCTCTAAATAATGAATCAAGTGATAATTAATCGGCGAAGGTCGATGGCCAAACGTGCGCCGATTAATTATTGACAAAAGTTAAGTATCGCATGAAAAGAGAGACGTATCCCTCAGCTCCGGAGTCTCGAAGATCGCACGCGAGTTTCTTTCAAAGCAGAGACAACGATCGCGGCGATCGCGTGCGTTCGAGAACGTACGACCCGCGTCGCGATCAGTGGGCCTGCAGCTTCAACAGAACCGCGCCCGTCGAGGCGAAGACGTTGGATTACGAGTCGGACGCCGTCTCGTACGTCGCCGATCGCGATCGCGGCGATCCGCGACGGGAGGAGCAGACGGAGAGCCGCGGTAGGCAGAGTCAACAGCAACGCGATTATTGCAATTTGACGACAGCGACGACGAGGAGAAACGGCGCGGTGGATCGATACACCTCCGAGATTAAGGTCAAAAGTCCCTCACTGGCGTCCTTCGCCGACTGCTCCCGCAGACCCATACGTTGCCCACGCCTGGATTGCTCGGTGAACGTCGCCTTCTCGGCGCTCACCCATCACTTCCTCTTCGACCATCCCGAGGTGCCCGTCCTCAGCGTCGAGCCCGGCGTCGAGAGCACGCTCATCGTCAGCTATGGAGCCCTCTCCTGTAACTCCAGTCGATGTCTAGCTCTCTTACTGGTGTCCGGAAAGCTCTCGTTAGTATACTAGCGTCGCTTAATTATATTACACGAAGGTGATGGCATTCTCAATTCCTTATTTCCTAAAACAATGATTTTTTTTTAATATAAAAATATCGGATAAAGAATTTGATTTGCGATTAAATTGAAATTGAAAAAGACGTCTCAGGTACAATTGTACAATATTCGCGATTAATACTGATTATAAACGAAAAGCTCTCGTTAGTATATTACCGTTCAAACATTACACGAAGATGATGGCATTCAGTATAGATTTCTAATTCCTTACTTCCTAAAACAATGATTTTTTTAATTAAACAGAAAAAATCGAATAAATTTAAATTACGGTTAAATTGAAATTGAAGAAAATGTTTTAGGTACAATCGTATAATATTCGCGATTAATATTAATTATAAACGAAAAACTCTCGTTAGTATATTAGTTTAACCATTACACGAAGATAATGGCATTCAATATAGATTCCTAATTCCTTATTTAATAACACAATGATTTTTTAAATAAAAAAAATATCGGATAAGAATTTGATTTGCGATAAATTCGAAATTGAAAAAGATTTCTTAGGTGAATCATACAATATTCGCGATTAATATTGATTATAAACGCGCTCAATTCAACCACTAATAAATTTCTATAACACTAAGAGATTCCTCAGCGAGGCTGTTCGGTAGCATTCAAATAAATCCCAAGTATCGGAATCGGTTGCCTCTACCGGTATTGGCAGCGCGTTTGCACAGCAGCCGCAATTACGCGTGTTGCGAGGAGGTGCACGCCGGCGGAGAGGGCCAGTGCGAGAAAGACATGATCATCGCCTGGGTGGCGGGATTAGACGTCGGCGACACGGCTGACAGACTTCGGTGTAGCATCCAGGTAATACGTCGGATCGATTCGCGTGCGTAAGACGAAAACGTATCAGTGCTCAAAGATGGGATAATGACGCTTAAACCGTTTAACCCGACACAGGCCGTCGACAGCATCGAAAACGGGGGATTCCGTTCGCTGACGTACACGGGCCCTGTGACGTCCCTGAGAGCCGCCCAATGTCCACGTGACGTCTTCTTGACCGGCGACTGTATAGTTCTCCACGAGGGGCTGATCAGCCACATCACCTCCGGCTGCACCAACCTCAATGTAAATGTTATTGTACACTAAACGTTGTTCCGTTAATACACATCCTCGTTTCTGAACTGTCTTAAAAATGTAAGCTTATCCAATAAATGTGAGCTCTTATCCAATGTAAAATCACAAGGACCACACAAGGAAAACCGGGCGTGGCGAATGAAAGGTCTGAAGAAGTTGCGTCTCGTGTCGCGCGAAATCCTCTCGTTTATTTCTTAAAAATATCCATTTTTTTTGGCCTAATCAGCTAAATTCACTTTCCCTTTTGCAACATCCGAGCTAATAATCTAATGGGACGTAGATATTTAAATAAAATATATATAATTATCTCGCTCTTTCGCATATACTTGATGACGTACGATGTATAAAAGGACGGTACAAAGGACAGTATTGCAGATTACCCAACTTGAGCACTTACTCGAAGAAGGCGAATTCTTTTTTTTTTCCTTCCCAAACATCTCGAATTATAAGCTAGTCATGGCAGGGGGTCGCGCGTACGCTTTAGGAATGAAACCGTACTTGCGCGTCTTGGGCGCGTAGGCCCAGAGCCAGCCGTCCACCGTTTGATTTCCCAGATCCGCGTATATCCAGTCGGCCCGTTTCACCGACAGATCGTCCGGCGCCTGCGCCTTGTAATCGTAAAGCACCACTAATTCCGTGCCGGTCGTCTCGTCCCGGAAATCCCGCACTCCCTTTTGCTGCAGCGACTCACCTCCCGTTATATTGCCCCCCGTACCTTTGCCTGCAAGATGAATACTAGTTAACGCAAGTTGATAATTTTGGAAGATTGATAAAATTGTAGTCCCATTAAGAGCTACAGAACTTCGTTGAACTCATCGACATATATATCCTAGAAAATTTTCCCGAAATTCACAGGATGATTTAGCGATTGATAATTAATAAAGAGCCAACCTGGACTGTGAGCCTCTGCGGACGCTGTATTTGTAGTGACAGTGGCGGCCGTCGTAGTGGCCGTCGCGTAAGAATGAAGAACGTGACCGGGATAGACGAAGCCGGACGGTACGAAACCCTCGTTGCCGTCGCAATGTCGGAGCACCCAGAACCAATCCGGATCGTCGCGATTAAGCACGGTCACGAATTCGCCTCTCTCGACGCTGACGTCGTTCTCGTCCCGCGCCACGAACGTGTAAAGAACGATGTATCTTCCGGCTGATGGATCCTGCGGGTAGAATTTCTCGCTGATGAGTCTTCGTCAAATTAAAGATAATAATAATAGTAATAATAAGTGCCATAACGAGTACCTAATTCATAGTCGCTAATACTTTATTTATCCAATGATAACAATTTTTAATATCGGATAATAATTAAATTTCAATTGAGGACTCGGGTTTATATTTTTAATATTCGGAAATGTATTAATTTGGGGACACTCGTTTTATGGCACATTCGACTAACTGACTGGTACCTTGAAGAAGGGATGTACGTCCGGTTGCGATGATATAGTCTGTATGGAATTCTGGGACTGCGTGATGTTGGAGCGATTGACGTTGACGTCCGCAGTGGTGATGTTATTCCGCGCGTAGCTCTCGCAATCCGAGGCGGATCCGGTGTCGGTCTGCTGCGTTTCCTGCAGTCGGCCCGCGCTAAGAAGATCGCAGTCGTTCTCGCTGGACCGCGGCAGCTTCTTCTTCACGTTGTTCAGATTGGCCAACGTCAGTTCCGCCAGCTGCGACGTGTACGGTGCGCAATACGAGTGCGGCACGAAGCCTTCCATACGCGTGTCCGCCGCTATCACGTACACCCAATCATTCTCTCTGTAAAGCACATTCACTATCTGAAACGTAAAAATTCCAATATTAAGTGCAATCTTTTTCTTCTTTAATGAACACATTGTTTCCTATTGTTTGCTGCTACTGTTCAATTTTTTTTATGCAGACAAAGGTAATGGTAAAAAGATTCTAATCTCTTTAGACATGTAAAAAGATTCTAAATCAAATGTACTAGCAATTGCTACGTGTGTAATACAAGTAGCAATGCCGCTTGTAAAACGTGATTCAACAAAGATCCGTCGGAGAACAATTCTGTGAATTCAATCGCTCACCTGGCCCCTTTTGACTTGAAGTTCATCGTCCACACAGGGGGTAAAGTCATGCACAATGACCATTTTACTGTCCGGAGAGAGTCCATTCTCCTTCTCAATACCGACTCTGACAAGGGTCTCGATACTCGCGCTTCCTGTTATGCGGCCAGGGGGTAACGGCACTCTAGTGCCCAAGCCAAGTCCATTGCCACCAGTCCCGCAGTCTTTCTCCAAATTAAAGTTGTGCGTTCCGGCTGCTTGGAATTGATAACATAAATGCAAGTGAATTTTAAAAAAAATTTTAAGATAACAAAATAGATTCTTTTAAAATTTCTTTTAAAATGATTTTTTTAAATTTACAAAATTTTATACAATATATATATAAATATATATACAATTTTAATTGTATATATATAAATATATATACAATTTTTTTAAATAACAAAATTCTTTTTGAAAATAATAGGAATTATAAAATTATTTTGAATGCTTGTGAAGATAATGTGAAATAATATGAAAATTATTTTAAGACTAAAAATTATCCGATAAAAATTACTTTTGTAAAACGTACACTTTGGAATTTAAATCACTTTAAAACGTGACGTTTTTACGAAGAGACAATTTTCACATTTTCCGACGAGGAGAGAAAAATCGAAAGTCGTAATCGGTTCGTGAACTCGGCCGGGCTCGCTTCGCGGAGCTTGCGAAGTGGAAGCTGCATAACCGGTCCCGAGCAACAGGTGATCGGGCCGAATGTGACAACTGGCCCTCACGACCGAACTCTGCCATGCCCTCGATCCTCCCATCTCTCTCTCTCTCCGTCACTTCCTCTTTCTCTCTCTTACTCTTGCTTTTCCTACGGCTCGTGACGTTTACTTACGTTTCTTCTTCTTTCCGCGACGTATGCGCACGGGGCACAGGAAGGCCATTCTGCGGTTCGTTCGCGCAGCCCGCTCCGGAATCTCTCACATCTCCAACGCGGTGCGACCACCCGCCTCCTGCGGAATGCACGCGTCCGATCTCTCACCGCGGATGTATATGTGTATGTGTATGTATGCGATGTGTGTTGGTGTGTGTGTGTGTATGCGTGCGCGTGTATATATATATGTACACCAAGGGCAGAGAAGATCCACGCGGAAGGACGCGGTGCCGAGGAGAGAGAATGTCTCGAGTTGAAACCGAAATCTGGCTGCCGTGCGTCGCCCTGGAACCGAGGCACCTCCCGCAACGGCGAGCGGACGCGTTCTCTCCGCGTTCCCTCTCGTCCACACTGCTGGGTTCTCACGGCCCTCACGGGTCCTCGGGGGCCCAACCAGGACTCCGATCGTGAATTAATCTTGGGCACGGCAGGTAGAGAGCGCTACGGGATGATGATATGGGATCGTGGTTCCCGTTAAATTTTCATCATTCGGACGAGACCGACGCTCCATGAAAAGACGTAACAGATAAAACGAGTTGAAGGTGTTGCAAGTTGCAAACCGCACTAAAAATATAATATATCCTCATTAGGACATATAAAAACAAATGCGTGAATAATAATTATTGTAATTAAGTGAAAATGAAAATAAATTGATAATAAGAAGGAAAGTTGTTTTATAATAAGAATCTTAATTAACTTTTTACCTTTCAAGAATGACTGCGATAAGTTTCCTTTTACTTTATCTTCTACTTTCTCTTTTCTTTTGCTTTATCTTCAATTTTTCTAGACTCCTTCGTAAGTAAAATACAAACACTATTAAGATAAGTCCAGTAAGTGAACTGTCAACAGATAGAAAGCAGATTTGTGTAGAAAGTGACAGCCTCACCGCATTAAGCTTAGCTTGCGAACCAGCTTCTAGAAGCTGCTAGAAGCTCGCAAACGTGACATGACGGCATCCGTCAAACGCGCATACCATTGGATTTCTGCCGTTAATTCGTCACTCAAACCGTGCTGCTTGATTTTCGTCGTCAATCCGCCGTCAAAACAAAATTTGCCATATTTCCGACTGAATTCCACCAACAATACCTCACACAAATTCTGCATCAAATCCATACTGCTGAGCGAGAAAATTTGCGGTAGACGGCTGCATCATTCATTTTCGATAGACTTGGCTGGTTTGATTTTTGCTCGAATAGCTAAAAAAAAACAATGTTTATAGACATGCGAAAAAATAGATGTGTTACAAATTATATCGTTTTACTTTTAATAATGCTTTACATTAACCTATATACCTGCATTCATATTACATTCTCATTTCAACGATCTATTTATCTCTCTCTCTCTCTCTCTCTTCTAACAATGAAACCGAGAGAGGTTAGGCGAGGAAAATGGAAATACATGTCTCCCGAGCTTCGAAAAACTGCCGGAGTTATCAGGAAGACATCTCGCGAGGAGATCGCGAGAGATGGCGAAATCAAAATCCAATTCAGATTTCGCGCCCCACGCTCTCCAACGTGAATCTGAAAATTCGAATTCGCAGGTTTGCAGCTTCCCTTCAACCTTTTCTGAATTATAATTCCCTAGAGGGCGGGAGATTTGAATCGTGCCAACTCCCGTTACCTCCTGGCCGTCTCTGTTTTTCTGATAACTTCGACGATTTTTGGACGGCATCGAGAGCCACGTTTACAACTCTCGCCTAACCTCTTCCTTAATTGGCGTAAACAATGAGATAAATCTCCGTCAGTACAGAACCGTAATTCGAAATAAAATAATTATACATTATTATATAATTATACATTATGAATCAAAAAATGTTTTTGGCGTAAAAATCGTCTTCCAACATTCCAATTTAAAGCTGTACGTGTAGCACTTCTTTGACTATAAATAAGTAAAGACTGTAACGTGTATAACAAAAAAATAAAAAAGTATAATAAATAGAAAACAATAATTACCCAATAATTATCCTCTTCCATTTAAATTACTGCTTAAAGGATTCACTATCCGATTAAATGTACGGGAGAAATCCGAATATTTTCGTTTTCGTTGAGCTAAAATAAAATGCGGGAAGAGTTGTGATCAACGACACACATTGCAGGGGATGAGACGATACGCAGATTTTGCTCGAAACTTGCTTTTATTGTATTCAATTAATATAAACGACGGTGGTATATTTCGTTCTTGCCTATATATAACAGAGCTCTTCTGACTTACGCTTAACAATTGCGGGTAATATTACTTGGTTTTTCTTCAACTCTCTCTCTTTCTTTCTCTCTCTCTCTCTCTCTTTCTGGAAAATATTCGTATTATATGTATATGTACAGTTATGTTCGTAATTGTGCCGAATATTTAGTCATTAGATTTGCGGATCGACTACTTAGGTACCATTAACGTTAACTCCGGTTAATATGAGACCGTAGAAATGCTCCTATATATTACTACTCGTATGCTTCAGGCGTACAGAAATCGCGAGATTCTAACAAAGTTGAATCTAGTGTCACGTGTATACATGTACGTGTGTATGTGTGTGTGTTAAAGTATGTAATATGTATGGCTGTGAAATAGGTACAAAATCGATTAGGTACAAAATCGTCCCTATTTTTTTTTTTTTTTTAAATGATACAGCGCAACTACATATCCACGGCGAAGACGAAACTTCGAGAACGAGCGGGGCCGGAGCTCTTGTAAAAAAATGCGAACCGTTCCACCGTATTATCGGGGTAAATTTATCGCAGTGCAGATACGATCACGGTTGTGGATAAGATCTCGTATATGAGCCGCGAAAGAGAGCCGGGCGCTCATCGTCTCGCTTATACATTTATTATGCCATGCGCGATCTCTTGCAAACCGCGCGAAGGCGTAGAACACACTTTTAAAAAGAGGGAGCGCGATCGATCGATTTTTCTCTCCGTTTCTTCTTCTTCTTCGTCTCTCTCCCTCCCGTGGGAGGGGATTTACAAAATTCGAGAGAACAGGAGGTCAGACTTTGTACTTTCGTATTGCACTTTGTTGTGTGTAGTTCAATGACACGTTGGAGTTCTTAAGTATTATAAATTCTAGCGCAGTCGCGAGATATTCTTTTTACTCTAATATGCTCGACACAGTTCTTTGTAGATTGACGAAATAAATAAGAGCATATATATATATAAAATTATATATGAATTAGATATATAATATTTATATATATACTGTAATTATATATATATATATATATAATAATTATAATATATTATAATTATATATATTACATATAAATTTATATGTATATATAATTATAATTATGTTATATAATTATAATTATATATAAGTTGAGAAAATAAACTATACTGCATACAAAAAGATTTCGTTAGCCTTTCTTCTTGGAACTCGCGCGACGCGTCACTAAATAATTCCCGCTACTTCACCGTTAAATAATTAAATTCCCGATAACAATGTCAGACAAAATCGTTTGCACCCAAACGACACAAAATTTATCTAAACGACAATATTGTAAAAAGGTGACGAAAAGTAACGTCAAAAGTTTAGAATGTCTACAAAGTGTCTAACCAACGCCTACAATGTTTAGGACGTTTCTCAAGAATATCTAAAAGATATCTAAAAGGCGCCGAAAAATTTTTAAACGCCCGAAAGACGACGGCTAAACGATATCTAAAAAATTTAAGGACACCTAAATGTCTATAATTTGGCGCCTGGAAAAGTTTGAGACGCCCGAAAAGATGCTCGAACGCTAATCTCAAGGATACAAAATGTTTTTGGAGAATATCTAAATGACATTTGACAAGATCTCGAGAAGACGTTCTCGCGGCGTCTCCCGAAACACACGTTTGTGAAGTCTGAGTAAGTTTTACAATTAACCAGCGCGCGCGGATATGGGATTGCTTTTCGAATGGAACGCAGTAGGTATTAATGCAGATTTCGGGTCGTCGCCGCATTACAGAGATTGCATCGCCGATTATAGGTCACTATTTGTCGCTATTGGAATTTCCGCTAAGTTGCAGTTTAGATTACGGCGGCGCGCGGCCGCGTCGCGGAGCAAAGTCCTCTCGCCTTCACACGCACGGCGCAACGATATATCCACATCAGCCCGTCTATTTTGTTATCGCACAAACGCTCCTCATATATCGCCTTATCGTCTATTCAAATAGCTTATTTTCCTCCTCGGCGTGTGTGTGTGTGTGTACGCGTGCACACACGTCCGTGTGTATCGAACCGGGAGGGAGAGGCGCGCGCGAGATCTCGCCTTTACGATTCTCTTGTTTTCGCAATAAGTCAAAAATAGAACGACGCGGTATATTATATATGCCGCATGTATTATATGTATATATATATATATATACACACACGTCGGTCGGGTACGCGCGCTCGCGTTACATTCGATAATGATATCGCCGATAACACCGCGCGTCATCGGCGTGGCGCCGCGAGATTGGAAACGAAAATCCGCGCGATTTCGGTCGACGTACGTGCGCCCGAGGAGACGAGACTTTATTTCACTTCTAATTGAAGAAACTAATCGAGACAGATACGAGAGAAGTGATCGAGGTACGCACACGCACGCACGCGTATATATAGGTCGTATCAGCTAGAGCACTTTATACAATTCGTGGTTTCGAAAGTCAGACTAAACATATAATAACAACAGAGATAATATTAGCGAAGCGCACGATAAAAATCACTTCCGACGTCTGCTCCCGGGAGCTCGCTCATGGTTCTCGAACGAGCGTCAGCAGTGTGTTTAATTCGACACGTACACGCACGGCGTGCGCGTTCGTGTGTCATAATTATATTATACAAGCACGGAGATATCTCGAATATCGCACGCATGACGTGATCCAATTAATAAATATATATATATGTATATCCTCTTTCTTCTCCTCTCCGCGATGGAATCGGTCATCGTGTTGTGTACTCTCCATTCTCTTTTTTTTTTTGTCAATATATAATTTGTCAACGTATTTCCGTCGAGAAAAATCAAATTACATCGTCCCTGCGAAAGAGTGAAATACATTTCTTTAAGTTTTGGCAGTTTTACACGGATTCGTCGAAACCGAGAAAAAAATTCGTCTTCTTCTTCCTCTCTTATTGTTTACACACCGACTTGAAACGTTATTCGAAACCGAGCTGTATTATATAATTATTTTAGGTAATTACGAATTACTCCTTTACTCTTCTCTTTACTCGTCTTAGGTAACTTTACGATAAACTGAGTTGTGTGTATGTTATGTATACGTGTGTATGAAAAACATAGATTATTACATTCTTTTTATACCTTAGGTGGGAGATGCTTACCTTACTGTAACATTACACACAATGTAACGTATCTTATGTATTATTGACCGAATGTTACATAGGGCATATATTTATATATGTATATTATAATGAATGTTATGCTATATTCTACATCGTAGATTTACCTCATACATCGTTCAGCTTTATATTAAAACAGATTGCTTTGAAATTCTAACATTTACTCCGTCCAAATACACCGGAATCGAGTACCCACGATGTGAGTGCACTTCTCTTTTTTTTCCCCCCTCTTTTTTTCTACGAGCGTGGAAACGTCAATTTCTTCCCTGCATTTTTTCCCCCTTTTCTTTCCCGGCGTAAGAATTATACTGGCACTGTAGCTGTGTGTTTTAAAAACAAGAGAAAAGAGATAAAGAGAAAAGTGTGTATGTGTGTGTGTGTGTGTGTGTACGATAAGAGATCTCCGGAGCAGTTCTCGGCATATGTATGTATATACGCGTGTATATTTTCGATACACAATCATGTATTTAATAATCATCATGTTTTGCTACACAATGGAAATATAATGCAAGTGTACACGGTTTACGTTGTCGTAACTATCATATCGCTAACCGCGTGCGGGGGACGCGCGTTGTGTTTGCACAAACGTGCCCCATTATACAATCCCCCAGCAGTGTCAGTTTTCTCAGTTATCTATTCTGCACTTGGGCCGCACGTAAACGCAGGTACAATTTCGGAAAGAAATTTCAGTCGATACAAAATCAAGATTACACCTTCGAAGGTGGGCCGGTATGTAAGACCGAGCGAACGAACGACAAACGAAAACGAACGGGGGAGGAAAATGCGAGGATAAATTTCTTCGGAAATCCCCTTTGATGTGCCGTCTTACTTTAATCAGTCCGAAACCAACGTTAACAAACCGGCTCCGTTTGCATTTCTCTACGATGAGCATCTTTGAAACTTTAACAAAGAGAGTTTATCTTCGTCGATCGCTCGCTCGTTCGCGCCGTGCCGCGCCGCTTTTACAAATACATTCGAGTGTCTAATTTAAAGCAAAGATTGTTTTATCGTGTCACTGGGAACTCCGTACACCTCGTGGCGTAGAAAAGAACGGCGAAAATAAAAAGTATAGCGTGTTACAGTGAAAGAAAAAAAAACAAAAATAATGGGGAGAGGCGGGGCAAAAGGCAAACATTTCTATCACGCATTTCTCTCGATTGTATGTGTAATAAGTGACAACAGAGTCCGTAATAAAACTTACCCTCTTTTGCGTATATAATATGTCTCTCGTATATATGTATTTCTTTTCTGTATCTACATCCTCTTTTACACGTGCATAATATCTTGCTTGTTCATGCTTCAATATATATATTTACTTCGTACGAATATATTAAAAAAATCTATTTCTCCCTTTATATTGTGGAGTATAATATAATTTGATACACGGACATTCTCGTATTATATGGAGTATTCTCATGCAGGAAAAATAATCTGTGCTTTCTTTCTTTCTTTCTTTTTTTCTGTATCCCAACAATCAACTCGCGAATCTGTATGAAAATGAAAAGTCCGTAATATAAGACGAATTGTATATCCAACATAATTTAACACTCGGTCTCTGCTAAACTCTCGGGAGATGCACAAAAATCGCGGCCGCAGCTGATACCGTCTTCCTTCTCTCCGCGTTAAGACGTTCTCTCTTTAGGTAAATTTTTCGATGTTGACAAAACTGGAAACGCTATCTCAGCACGGCCAACATTTTTTGCACATCTCCCGTTCTCCCTCTCTTCCTCTCACTCTCACAGTAGGACCATTTCACACACATATATATATATATAAATATATATATTAGATATAACTAAAATGATATGTCTCAACAAAATAATGTGTATGTACAAAATAAATATAAATATATATTTATATATATATTAAAGATGTGGGTTCCTCAGCTGCGAATCTACGTAAAAATATCATATATTAATAACAAAACTTTGCAGTCAACAGAAATCATATACAGTACGTGTCCACACGTACGATGCGATCAATAAATTTCTCGTTACGCTTTTAGCCGCGATTCCGAAAAAGAAACATATACATTTTTTAAGAGATTTAGAACTTTAGAGAAAAAAAAGAAAACAACATACGATCGTCGACGATCTGTTTTAAGCGGTCTATTTAAGTATAAATCTTATGACCAATAAACTAAATGACTCGATAATCACGTAAACGATTGAAAATTTGAAAACAATCGAATACGTTATTATCAACAAAAATTGATTCGAATTATGGTCCTACTGTATGTACCAAATAAATTTCAAGAACGCAAAATTCTTTCTCTCCTCCCCACCTTATTATTGACGTGATTAGGCTTGGACCGAGCTTTTTCGTGGAATAAAAAAGCAGATCCCACTTATACGCGTTAATCACAAGATTTTAGTCGTAGCGATTCGGTTGCTTTTCTTTTTTTTTTTTTTGGAACGTGTGAATAACGTTCTGGGCATTACAATGTAGTACGAGCTGCTGGAACACACCCAGGTTTATGCTTACAGCATACCTAGAATAACAATATAGCACCTAGGTTTTTTGTACTTTAGCAATTATTTCGTCATGATACTGTAATTAATTATAAACATACACCTATGATGCCACAATGTATTTACATTATGCTGACTACCAAGATGTGAATGGGAAGCAATCTAAATTCATTCGTACTAGAAATCGCTTTCTGTCTCTCGCACATGCATTCTTACTTTCTTTCTCTCTTTCTTACTCATATATTCAGGATCAAAATTATACAGTAAAAATCTTGCTCCACACACACACACACACACGCATACACTTCGTATATATTTAATATATACGAAATGTCTCATCGTAATACCCATTAAATGTAATCGTTTTTATTGGCGCGGTAATAGTCCATTAAATCTACTCCCCTGTTTCGATATAATACAATATCTACATTCGATTTTAATAAAAAATAAAAATAAAAAAAAATCGACCGATACAAGTATACTTGACGTGGCTGCCCAACTCGTGGCATCGGTTTGCCACATCTCCCACCGGGAGTATCACTCTTTCGAAATTCCGCTACACGTCGCCCCACGGCTGGGAGACGAAGTGTCAACGGAGCAACACGTTTGTCTTCGCGGCGCCATAGACTCGTCAAGCCGAAATTCATCTCGCAAAAAGGACGTGTATCGTTTTTCTCGTTATCCGCGGAACGGATAAAATGCAAACGGGAAGTGGACGTAGTATTGCGCGTAGCTATCGTCATCGACGAACATGGAAGGCAAGCAATCTTCGCTGACAGTGGTCGGTCGGTCGATTCGAATTTTCGTGAGAAACACGAGTATGAAAGCGCGAGGACTCCACCAGCCCGATGTTTTGAGTTGGGCAGCACGTGTTTTACTTACCCAGTAAAAACGCCGAATTATCTGCGATAACGTTTAAAGGCTTGTCGCGTATCACATAAACCTAGACAGTTTATCGTTTAGTTTAGAATCGTAAGTATATGTATATAATATATATTATGTATATGTACCTAACGTACATAAACTCAGTGCACGCTTATTCGGCCAACGGATGAGCGTCGTCGCGGTAATCGCTGAGCAGTTGTGGGTGTGTGTGTGTTAAATAACTTCCGCGTTATCCTAATCACTGATCCGACTCGTTATTAGCTGCCAGCACGCTGGCAGGCTCAGACTCTTTATTGTTCGCCGGTAAACTCGTAGCAGCGTCGGTCTCCTCGTTGCCGCCCTCGGTGCTGTCGGCCGCGCTGGAGCGCGGCGCCGTCGCCGTCGTCGCGTCCTCCTTCTTCTTGTCTTGTTCACTCTCCTCCTCGGCGACGACAGGGGACTGCTGCTGCTGCTGTTGTAATTTCTGCATGTGCAGCTGACTGCGCAGCTTCGAGATTTCGCGAGCGTCCGACCGCCGATGACGGCGCAGCTGCGCGTTCTCCAATGCCACGCGACGCGCCAGCTCCATCACGTCCTGCGGCACGTCCAGCGCCCTCAGCCGCTCCTCGAGATCCGCCGCCGCGGCGCCGTCCGTGTCGGAGTCGCTTTCCGACGGCGAGGAGGTGCCGACCTCGGAGGAGGTCGCCAGCGGCGTAGGTTCCACGCTCACGGTGGACGACGTCACCGCCGCGCTGCTCTCCTCCTCCTCCTCCTCGCCCTCCTCTTTCTTGTCCTCCTTTGGCACCGCCGCCTCCTTCTGATCTTCGTCCGACACGTAGTACAGGGGAGGATAAGAGCCGATGGCCGGCGCTTGACTCGGCGACATCTTCTCCACCTTCACGCTGGCGGACGTCAGCAGCTCCTGCTTCTCGCACGTGGGACTCGAGGGGTGGTGATTGTGACGGCGATGCTCGTGATGATGCCGTCGCTGCTGATGAACAGACGAGGGCGGCGGTATCTGGCCTATCTGTGCGGGCGCCGGAATAGGCGCGAGCGCCACATTAGGCTGGAAATGTGGCTCGAAACGCTCGCACTCCGAAAGCGGGATGACTCGCTCCGGATGTTGCAGCACGGGTGGACCTCGACTGAGATACGCAGGCACCAACGACGAACTGTTTAACAGAGGCGAGAACGTTCGTTTTAATTATCGCGTGTCTAAACGTGAGATATATATGCGAAGTTGACGCGAGAAGATTTTACGATACCTACCTGTCTCTGTGCTTACAATTGCCCGCAGCGTTCCAAGGCTGAAAGGCTGCACCCCTGGTAGCAAGCTCGAGAACCGCCCATTGCATCTGCAGGTTAAACGACTCAGTCATTTGGGGATGGTACATTGCCAATCCATTGCCATTGTAGATTCCAGCGCAATCGTCCCTCCCTATGTCCTTCTTTGTGCGTTTGATCAATCTCTCGTGCTCGTGTCGCAGCTAAAACAGATATGTGGATTCATGTACTTTCCAGAAACATTAAACGATAATTTAATTTCATGTGCTACTTTAACTGTACGCATCTATGTAACGTTAAAATTATAATTTAATTTTTAAAGAGAAAACACGTTAAGCGCCAATACCTCTAGCTTTCGCTTGGAGTTTAGCACAAGATGCCTCTCCTTCAGCTCCCGAAAAAGTATAAGCGATTTGTTGTAGTGCTGTTGATCACGAGAGAGCAGAAGATACGACCGCCAGTTGGCGGAATCGAAACCCCAGTGGCAGGTGCGGTTCTCCAGAGATCGGTGAGCGTGTCTCACGAAGCGTTGGGGTGAAAATTGGTAGCCACACTCTAGACACTCGATGCACACCGAATCGTCGGTCTCGAAAAGCTTCGCATCGAAGATGCCCTTGCACTTGCCGAAACATTCGTGGTACACTTTGAACTTGATAACCGTCTCCTCCTCCTCCTCGTTCTTACACGCCTTCTTATCGAAACTGCCCTGCGCCGGGCCGATCTGGGAAGGATCGCAGGATTCTGTCCGTAACAGCAGAGCACTGACGAGCCTCTCGGCGTCGGTCTGGGTGATGAGACCGCAGGACGGCGCGTTGCGCGGCAGGATGCCGGAGTGCTTGAGCTCCTCGAGCTGATCCCGGGTGCAGCGCGAGCAGTAGATCTGCAGCTCGTCGCACACCTGGTTGATCTGCTGCAGGGAGAAGTCCTGCAGCACCGTGTTCAGTATCTGCGGCAGGCACAACCTCCTCTCGCCGCCCACCACGAAGCACGAGATCCTCTCGCCCTCGAGGATCGTCTCGCACCTCTCGGAGCAGCTCTGATCGGGCGCCGTGAGTATCGGTATCTGAAACTCGAGCTCGCGCTTCTCGCACACGATCTTCGGTCGGTCCACCGCCGCCGCCGCGGGACGATCCTCGTCCGAGTCCTCGAGCGAGCGGGGCGCCTTCGGGACGGGCGTCAACGTGCGCGCCGACGTCTCGCGGATCTCCTTCTCGACAATGTCCTTCGGCGGCTGCGACTCCACGGGCGACTCCAGACCGCAATTCGCCGCCGGACGACTGACAGCGGGCGGCGAGAAGCACGAGGTCGCCGACTGTTGCTCGTGCAGCAGGGCCTTACAGTCCATGCCCAGCAGGGCCGAGCTGGGACCCTGTAGGCTCTTGATGGCTGACAGCTGATAGGTCTTAAGGACGGTCTTCAACTGCGGACTGTACGACTGGCCAGCGGCGGTGTTGCCGAGCATTAGTGTCTCCATTGTGCGCGCGGTATTTCAAGAAGCGTGCCCCCCCGGTGAAACAGGATGACGACGGAGGAACGGAGTACGATCGCGAGCGACGACCGCCGCCACAACTGTTACAACGTATCGCACTCGCTGTACCGCGCGCGACGAATCTCAACACTCACACTCGCTTTAATATATAAGTAACTGATGTATACAATACAATTCCGTATTACACTTCGACCATCCACCGAGTTTATTTATGTCGCGGACGATGGAGCAGCGGGACCGGGCACTAGCACGACAACTGGCGCGACAACTCGGCTTCCACGCGATTCCACTTCCATGTTACTCGGGCCCAGCGCGTCGTCGCCGTCGTCGTCGTCGTCGCCGTGGTTGTAGCAGCGTGGCCTCCACCGCATTCCTCGCGTTCGCTCGCGGACCGACGTGTTGTGCCGCGAGACAGACGCGAGTCCATCCTCTCCGTGAAACCGAACGGGGTTTTCTAACCCGCGCGCTACACGGGCCCTCCTCGGTCGCTCTTCTTTCTATCTCTCTCGCGCTCTCTCCTTTACTCGCACGCACGCACGCACTCTCTCTCGCTCCGCTCTCGTCCGGCACGAGAGGCCGAGTTACACACGCGTATAACCCGTTCGCGCGTCCTTCCTTCCTCCCTATGATCGCCCCTCCCGCCGCTGCATTACGCGTCGTCGACGAAGACAACGATGCGACTACCGCCGCGACCCGCGAGCCCGCGATGCCACCACTTCCACGCACAACATGATAAAGCCGCCGCCTGCTGCTCCTCGCCGTCCGTCTCCCTCGTCCTCTTTGTCCGCGGTCCCACTCTCCTTCTCCCTCGCGCGCGCTTTCGCGGGCAGAAAAGCGCGTTACGCGGAGATCGTACGCAGCGAGCGCCGTCCTCCGAACGAGAGAGAGAGGCCTCCTCCTCGCGGGTTCCCTCCGATTCTGTCGCGAACTCCCCTCCCGCTCACTGCTACTGCCCTCTTCCTTCTCCGCACCACGTCGTCGTCGTCTTCTTCTTCTTCCTTCTACCTTCTTCTTCTTCTCCTCTACCACCACCACCACCACCGCCTCTTCCTTCTCCTACGGCGGCGACGGCGGTTTTCAACGCGACGTTCTCGCAGCCGCGAATTCGATGCGCGACGAAAGCAGCACGGTCATGGATACGGCGGGCCAACGATCCATAGCGGGGGCCGAGTCTTACAGTCTTATCGAACGCAATCTACGGACAACGAAATGGCACATGCTTTATATATATATATACTCATGGATATATATATATACACACATATATATATATATATATATATGTATACATATATGTTTTGCAATCTATGTATATCTCTCGCATCTATCGTCGCACGTTGCTCACTGTACTCGCGCGAACACACGCGCGCGCGTTTCTATTTATCATCTCTCTCTCTCTCTCTCCGTCCCGTCACTTCAACACGGCGCACTGCTGTCGGTGCATGTTATCAGCGTCCGCCGTCCCGTCGACGACGTTCCCCGCCGCGCGCGCCAACACGAGCCGCCTCTTCCTCCTCCTCCACCTCCACAGCCACCACCACCTCCTCCTCCTCGTCTTCTCTCGTCCTCGTCCTCCTCCTCCTCGTCGTCGTCGCTGTCGCTACTGGCGTCGCCGACGATCGCTATCGGGACGCCGCGCCGCCGCTGCGCGCGCCAACAACAACGAGGATGTCGGCGATGATACCGTGCGACGTCCGGCGAAATATTATCGCATCACTGGAGCGCGACCACCAGCACGGCTGGCATCGTCAGACGAGCGATTTACTCGTCGGCACGTCGCGACGCAATGGCGTATCGATCGCGACGACGGCGACGACGGCGACGACGGCGGTGGCGGTGGCGGTGGCGGTGGCGGCGGAGCACGCACCGTGTGACCGTGGACAGGACGACGGCGACGACGGGTAGCGGACACTCGCCGCGGGAGCACGCATATTTCTTACCGCGCCGCGAGAGATGCCGATGACGACGACTCCGACGATCCCGGGCGACGTGGAAACCGATGGACCATCCGTCGAGATGCGAGAGCGCACGTACGGCACGCACGCCACGAGCTGCGACGCGAATATTTTTCTGTCTGTTCCTCTCACTCCCTCCTCTCAGCTCACTGTCTCACTCGTTCTCTCTCTCTCTCTCTCCCTTTCTCTCTCGCGCGCTCTGTGCACAGACGCTAACGAGACAACGGCAGACCTCCGCGATATATACGTACGCTTTTCACGCACGCTCCTCCTCGCCCGCCGCGCTTTCGTGGACGACGACCGTGTAGATGTTTCGTCTCTCGTTCTTTTCTCTCTCTCTCTCTCGCTTGCTCCCGCTCCGCGAAGTTTTTTTGCTCTCACGCGCGAGCGGAGAGGCCCTTCTCCTTCTCGCTTTTTTGCTCTTTCTCCCTCCCTTCCTCCCACTCTCTCTCTCTCTCTCCCCCCTGGCGCGGTGTCCGCGCCTGTACACATGCGCGCGCGACCACGTAAACACGAGACGAGAATCGGAGGCGGCGGAGCCCTTGAGAGAGCGAGACTGTCTCCTCTCATGCAGAACACACATACACACACGTGCACGCGTACATACATACACACATACTCTCTATTTTCGCCCGTGTGCGCGTACGCACGTACGCGACACGTGCACGTCCTCGCGCTTTCTCAGTGTGAGTCTTCAACCGGCTCCGTATACCGCGTGGCGAGAAAGTATCTCGCGGACTGATATTTGCCTATGTCAACACATACGATACATCTCTTTACATTTTCTCGAACGTTAAATATCTTTACAAGTTATAGGCGTCGAATTTGACTTAGGATAGTTTTAAGATCAAAGGTGGAGGAATAAAGGCCAGAATTTGCGCATCTGACAGATCAATATGTCATTCAGTCCCAGATATAATCTTCTCGTTTCTCTCCGCCTTCAGATCCGCGGTCACCCTGGAAATCCTAACGTCTACCTTCTCAGCACCCGGTACGTGCACGCGCGCGTTTCTGCACGCACGCCTGTCGCCTCGGTGTGCGTGCCGCGCCGCGCGAGCTCCGGCTCGGCCGCGCGCACGCGTCCGCTCGGTGGTAAAGAATCACCGTAAACTCCGCATGCCTGTCTCGTTCCCCTCTACGAGCATCGCGGCCGTCGTCGCCGCGGCGGCGGCGGCGGCGGCGGCGGCGACGACCACGACGACCACGACGACGACGACGTCGGCCACTCCTCCCTTTTCTTCCCCCTTCTCGCGGCACAACCGGCCACCTACTGCGCACCACCGCGCCTGTCGCGCGCAGTGCTGGAGCACGAAAACAACAGACTGAATGTCACTGACATTGTCGCGCAGAGTTCACGTAAAAAAAAACGCGCTCGTATTATTCTGTTCTATTTTCATAAATTACCGGAGCTCCTTGACGAGATCTTAGGTTCCCGTACATGTTTTTCCAAAGCCTTAGCCTTACGCTTTGTTTCCACCAGCTGTAACTCGTGGAACGCATGAATCTGACACGATGATAGAGGAAGCCTGCCCGGAGCACTCGGGACATATCGGTGTCGCTCACGCTCGCGGACTATTGTCTCCAGACTCCGCTCGGTCCAGGAATGTAGGGGATGGAAGGCAGATGAGGATAATTTACAGGACTTCCGGGACACGGACGAACCAAGGAATTTCGCCAAAAGCCACGACATATATACTGACATCTAAAAATATAGACTTGTATCAACAAGGGAAAGCAGAGGCAAAAAATCGTGAAAGAATAATTTTACTTTTATCAAAGGACCCATTACGAATTTCCACGTTCGTCCCACGGTCCTGGCCACGTCGCTGCGGTCCCCTCACCGCGGCGGCCGAGAGCAGGTGTGTGCGCGTCATACGCGTGTGTACCAGTCCACACACATACACACGCATACACGTGCGATTCGACGTAGGCCGCAATGGGCCGCAACGCGCATAGCTCGGTTACGACGCGCGGTCGGCGGCACGCGTCTGTGTGAATCGGACGCCGACAGCCGTCTAGTCATGTGACCTTCCCGTCAAAATAGCCTGCGTACCTCCCCGCGCGCGCGCGTCACGCATACACTCGCACGGCGGCGCGGCGACGGCGGCGGTGGCGGCGGCGGCATGCCGCACACGCATCCGCGAGCGACGACGTGGAGGCGCGGCCGCGGCCGCAGCGTGCGCGCTCTTGGTATCGTTGCCATCTTGTGTTCATTGTCAGGGACGTCACGAGGCACTTGGTGGTGTCGACGACGACGATGACACGCGCTGCCAGCAGTCGACTCCGGGTCGCCGTCCTTAATGCGTTGTAAAAAATGATTAGCTAAATTGCGAGAAAATTATTTAAGAACGCACGGGCACTTAGTCATCGTCTGAAAATGTTAAAGCGTAACAGAATGTAATTAAACGATAAGACGACAGAAATAGATTTTCTGAGTAATTAAGTTGTCAACTAAAAAAAAAAAAAAAGGAAAAAAACGGGCATATGTAATCTCAATGTAACGTTTATCGAATATTAAATAGTATACAAAGTAGAATAATAAATAGTGTATCTTTATTTATTATTCCTGCTAATTCGTAACTCTAAAGAATTTGTAAAATATTTAAGTCGTAGAATATAATTTGTACAGACTAGCTAATTATCATACATTTTAACTTATAAAAAGTCTTATTTTTTTTTATTACTTAGTTAATTCCTATTCTGTTTTATTTGTCCCTCTTCGACGTCTTGGCCTTCTTCTTCTTGCTCTGCGCCTTTTTAGATTTCTCCTCCTTCTTGTCCTTCGATTTAGGTTTAGATTTCTTTTCTTTTCGTTTATGCTGCACTTTCTTCTTCTTCTTCGTCGGAACTTCGTCCTCCTCCGACGACGATGACGACGACGACGACGACGAGGAAGAATCAGTCGTCGAGCTAGACGAGCTGGAGCTGGAAGACGAACTGGTAGACTCGTCAGAGCTGGAGGGCGGCTCCTCTTCCTTGATGCTGGTCAACACCGGCACAGGCGCCGGCTTTGGATGGGACTTCAGGTGCTCCCTCAGATCGTCCGTCAAACCGCCCAGGCCGATCGACGTGAAGAAGTTGATCGCGAAACGCGTGTTCTTCGGATCGTCTCTGGGGAACAGGCCCTCGAACACCTCCTGCAACGTCAGGTCTTTAACCCGGTCGTTCAACTTCGCCAGACCCATGTATTCCGAGAGCTCCTGAAACAAGATCTTGATAAATATTCTGTTGGAACTCGTGGTGTCCTCCTCGTTCAGCTTTATGCACGACAGCACGCTCCACGATATGGAGTCCGTGAACAGTAAATGCGCGAAGAACTTAGACACATTTCGCAGCTTGTTGGTGTCGAGGCGGTGTATCGTGTGGTAAGAGTCCTTGAAAATCTGCTCGAACGGCGTCACGTATATCTTGTTGATGGCGCAAAACCGACCGGCCAGGAGGCCGAAGAACTTCTCATACGTACGCATCTCCGCGCAACAGTCCAGGAACATGTGACATAACTCTATCTCCTGCCCGGGTTTCAGTTGCATTTTCATTAACTTGTGCGCGCACTCCTCGAAGTCGAGCGAGGAGTGTATCGTCAGATATATAGTCCGTCGGAGCGCGGTCAGATTTGTCTCCGTGTTGTCGAGTATCACCCCCTCCTTCCCCTCGGTCTGCTCCGCGCCACTCTCGGCGTCCGAGCTCTCCTCCTCTCCGTCCTCGTCGTCCTCTTCCGAGTCGCTGACGTCCGAGCCGAGAATCTCTTTGCACAGCTGCTTGTACTTCTCCTCGGAGGCAAGGTAATCGGTGTCGAACTTGAACACGTTCAATATATCTTGCGCATTCATGTCCTCGTCATTCAGTCGTATCAAATGAGTTATTTGATCCTCCTCCTCCACGAGATTCAGCTCCTCGGGCACCGCCTCGTGATCCTTGAATCCGTCCTTCCTTATTTGGAACATGACTTCTATCATGTACTGAACTCGCTTGTCCAGCTGCCCCTCGTGCAGTATGTTCCTCAGCATTTCGAAGATGGCCTCGATACCCCGTCGCGACACCTCCGTCAGCTTCATACCGCACTCCTTCAGAAACGCTATGGCCACCTCGACGGAATCGTCCGTCGGCGTTTCCAGCAGCAGCGTCAGGATCTCCAGAGCTATAATCTCGTAGGCGACGCGCTGGTTGACCAGGTGCGCTATGAAGGTACCTGAGGATATGCACAGGGGCTTGTCGTTCCTCTTGAAGCCACGCTTGAACTGCAGAACGAGCCGCTTCAGCACCAACTCGCCTATGTTGGGGAACTTGGAGTTGATTATTGATGTCAGTGCCGCGTAAACCGGAGTGAACGTCGGAGACGCGGCCTGCGCCTGAATGATGGATCGCGCCAGCAGACCTCTGCCGCGGACGATGTTCTCGCGCAGCAGCTCGCGCGTTATGATCCCAATGTTGCTGGTGTTGACTTTATTTATGTACCCGTGGATGGACTTCTTCAACGCCTCCCAGGCGATACGCTGGTAGGCGGCGCCCGACTTGTCGGTGATCTCCGCCTGGAGCATACGCAGCTTGGCGGGCGGGATGTACGCGCCTCCCGTTTTCGAGGTTAGGAGGTCCACCGCCCGCTTCTGCTTGGTGGGATCCTGCGGATTCTCGCGCGTTTTATCCGGTTCGCCATAATACCTGTTGCCGATCTCCTCCCGCGGAGAGAAATTCGGCTTCCCGGCCGCTTCCTCGCCGTCGCTCTCCCTCTCGTTGTACCGACGATTCCTGTCGCGATCGTCACGTCGGTCGCCCCGACGATCGTCGTCGCGCCTGGAACCGCGACGGTCGTCGTCCCGTCTGGAGCTCCTGTGCTCGTCGTTGCGTCTGGAACTTCTGTGACCATCGTGATACCTGGAGCTCTTGTGGTCGCCGTTGTGCCTCGACTCCCTGTGATCGTCGTCACGCTTGTGGTCGTCGCCACGCTTGTGGTCCCGGCGCTTGCGATGACGCTCCTCGCTTTCCTCCTCGTCCCTCCGCGAGTGCGATCGCTTCATCCTGCCTGGATATAACCTCAAATGTACTCGAGGAAGTTGCGCGGATCTTCAACGGGCGTCGTGCACTCGCAATTGCGTTATCCTATATGTATGTAGTAATTATTCGGTTACATACCACGTATTACGATACTTTCAACTGCCTCGTGACATGTAATTACTGAGATGCGGTCTAAATTCACTCGCTTTGCCTTCCGAATCACTCCTCAAATGCCTCGAATTGCTTGCGGGAATCTTCACAGAGCACACTGGAATCTTCTATGTACCCGGGAAACATAACCCTCATTTTATACTTCTCTAATTCTACGCGACAGCCAGAAGATGTCGTGCCAGTCGCTGTTCGCTTTGACTCGCGCCAATTTCAAATTCGCGACCATCTTTTGCCAAATCATGTTCGTCGAATATCATGAATTTAACTCTAGAATTTAAACATTTCAACTTGCGGGTCACTTCTATTTTATTTTATTTATCTCTTACGAAATATGTTTTTTTCTGATAAAACTAATATTTTTATGAAAATTGGGTGATCACAAATGTTTTCTGCAATACCGATAGAACGTACAATAGTTTCCCCGAACGTGTCACTGAATTCTCCGGGTCCTGTGCCTCATGAAAGATAACCCTTTTTAAAAGAATAATTAAAGATTTACGTGTGTTTAATGTTTAAATGAACGCAATAAGAACAGTAATACAAGATTCAAACAATGGTTGTAATTTCGAGAATCTTCTCTCGTGGTTACGGCGGACTACGGGCAGCGAAAGTGTTACGTAGGTTATGTTAATTAACATTAACATTATTTTTCTCTGATTGTTTATATGCGACAATCGAGCGATTGTTTATATGCGATATCAAAATTTTATTATGTGTACGTTCTTATCATATATATATATATGAAAGTTTTAATTATTTTCAAACTACGTAAATCCGTTTTTCAGGCCATGCAGTCAGAGGAAATTCCTCCACGACCGCCCAAGATTCGGTACAAGAGTCGCAAAATAATAAGCTACCAGAACAAAGCGAGAAGAAGAGAGAGATCCCGGATAAATATCGATTCATTTTCCCGGAATTTCTACCGGATCCAGATCACACGTTACGCAACTCACTGCGAGAAAAGCTGGAGCGCATGGATATGCTGGCAAGGCGCACGCACATAACGATACCGGAGTTTTACGTCGGTTCCGTGTTGGCCGTGACTTATTCTGAGCGACACGCTCCCGGAAAAGTCAACAAATTCGTTGGGTTATGCATCCAGAGAGAGGGATGCGGCTTGAGGGCCAAGTGTCTCCTGAGAAATGTGGTCGACAACCAAGGAGTGGAGGTGCTTTACGAGCTGTACGACCCTGCGATACACAAGATAGAGTGTCTCAGGTAAATATTATTGTTATTATAAATTTTCTTTGAAATTATTTCTCTTCGACGATCCTACTCACAACGAATATTCAGGCTTGAGAAGAGACTGGATCCACATCTGCGATACCTGCGAGACGCATCGCTGGAGTATAGTACCTTCCCTTTCGACATGGAACAGGAATATTTGCCGGAGGGTTCACCGGTACCTGTAAACGACATCGTGATAAAGCTCAATCCTCAGCCATGGATAGAGAAATGGGAGCAACAGGAGCTGAAAGGTGCAGACATCTCTCATGTGCCTCTCACTGAGAAACGCATTAAAAAGGCTAAGATTTCGGCAAAGCCCTGGGAGAAGTACGATCTAATGAAAAAATACCGGTAAGAGAGCAAAATATCTTTCTGTATATACAATTTTTCTCGCACTTTTAATATCTCATTCGTTCTAATTTATACTCTTTTGTTTAGGGAAACCATCCCCGTGGAGGATCAAAATGAAATATTTAACGAGGTGTACACGAAATTACACGAAATGGAGGTTACTAAACGCAGGCAAAAACACAAACGCGCTTTCACACGTCCGTTGAAAACCGGATGAACTTTTGATCGTGTACAGCATTTTTCAATTCATGTAAGGAAATAGAATGAAATAAACATGTTTGTTTCTTTTTTTTTTTGTTACAATTCTATATCTCTGTAATAATATCCGCTCTGTTCATAAACCAGCGTCATAGAAAAAATTGGGATTTCACAAATATTGAATTTTTTTTTTACAAAAATATATAAAACTAAACATAAAAACAACAAGAGACAAATTGACTTCCTGCATCGTTTCTTACATCGTAAAAATAATATATTATTCTATTACAATTTCAGAAACTTTTTAATCAATAAGTTTCTTTTTATTAGGAAGTGAAAAATATACAATAGAAACTGGAAAACTCATTTAATCCTATATTTCTGTATTTGCATCCTATTTTTGTAGTAACCACTCTTTTGCATTATTTTAACACTTTGCATACGCATGCATACTTTGCGTGCATACATTTTGATAGGCAAAAATCGTAATACACGTCTACAGACATGTACGTTCACAATAGAATTGAATTGTATTTGCAAGTTAATTATTAATAAAAAAAACGTTGTACTTAAGGAAAAAAACATCTACGAAGTTTTATTTTTTTACAATTGAATGTACAACGAAATTGTTCAACGAAATATACTGCAGTTTAAAAAAAAACTTCGGAGTTTAAACTCCCTAATGTCCGGACAGCAGTCAAAGTGTTAAAATAGAATAGAAATTCCTTTTGTTTTTTTTCCCCTCGCTTACTTAACAATATAAGAGATCATCGTAATAGGTGAAATTAACTCGTTAGTAAAGCTACATTAATTTCTTTAACCATTTTAATACGATATAACATTTTGATGAGCTGTTCCTTCGCGAGGGGCGACGTCGAGTACCATACCGGACTGTCTGGTACGCAACTGCGTTCTGGCAATAGATAGAAGACATCATTTCGCGTCTTAACGCTTTCAGGGCTGAAAATAATTTCAAACGATTACAAGACAATGCGTAACATCAAAATCGACGAGATAAATTGGATTCGTGAATCCAGCGTTTGTTCAGTCAGTAGCATGTGCACACGTACCATTTCGACAAATAGAATTCGTACAACTTAACAGGGCATCTCAATGGGTTCTCCTCGTTTTCTTGTTGCTCGTACACCTTCTTTTTCCTTGAATTAGCTTCTTTAAAAAAAGCAATAATTAATAAATAAATTTGTACCGACAAATCAGCATCGGCACTGAAATTTCTATGGTATACATGTGAATGTATTGTAACCAACCTAGAGCTGATTGCGGCGGATAAAATCTCAGAAGGACGTTTCTTGAGCCGGGAACCTTCCCTGCCACCGCCGTGGGTTGAGCTGCTGGATTGCGCTTCCAGTGTTTCATAATATGAGAAAAGGAAAGCTGCATATGCTCCTCTACCGTCTGAAAGAGATATGGACAAGCGTATTTATTAGTGCTAAAATATTATGGTAATGCGGGGTACAGGCTTTTATTCTAGTCGATCTCGGTGGACTTACCACAAGATTAAAGTGTTTCGTATTAAAGAACATAAGCGTGCTTAACAGAACGTGTGGAGAATGGGCACCCAATTGTTTGCACTCCCACAAGTGCTCCTCCTCCACCCTGGTCACGATGTATTCTGCAAAATCGATGACATGACGTTTGAAAAGACAAAATGATGAAAATAAAGATGCAATCGCAACGAATGGCAAGACAACACACTTACGTGCCTCGTTGTACAGCACGGAGAACTTTTTCGCTACTTCGTTCAGGCAATCTGTAAATTTCTCGTAGTACGAGTCCGTGAATATATTGTCGATCCTGCTGTTCTCAAATAGATATTGCTGTATTCCTAAAACAAATTCATGAGAAAGATAATTTAAAACTAAAATGAAGGCTTGCGAAAAGAGACATTCGATACGATTGTAATCGCTGACTCTCAGGTATTATTCAAAAGTTGATTTACCTAGGCAAAGGTAATATATTGTGTCGGGAGCATATTCCGCACCGTTCGGCTTTCTCACTTCCTTCACGAAGAGGCATAGGGAATAATTTAATTCGTCCGCGGTTAGTTGCAAGAGATCCGTCTTGAACAATTTTATCTTTCTCGTCGGTGTAATTTGTTTCTCTAATTCGGCATTCTTTCCCACTACCTGTACATTTTTTTAATTGCAGTAAATGTTTCCGTCTCGCGTGTAACGTATGTATAAACGTGAAGCGTATTACGAACCCACTGCCTCCACGCGTTTACGCCAAAAGTGTACTTTAACGCCATATTAGCGTCGGGCTTCTCCAGCGGCTCCAAAATGCGCGGTTGCGGGGGTGGCTGCGGCTCCGGCGGTGGCATCAGTGGCATGTCATTTGTACCAGAGACACGTCTCATCCGTTTGGTTGGCGTCGCTCGCGGCTTGTACGGCATCACGCGTTTCCTTCCTCTAGACGCAACCATCAGTCGATCCGACTGCACTGAAAATCGTACGTAATTGTCAGCAACAATTTTCATTTTGGATAATATTAAATGTAGTTATTACAGTACGTCGTATTGTAATTTATTTCTGTTACACATACCGTCGTTGTCCAAAGTATTCTCTGACTGCGGCGGTGCCTGCGTGGCTGTAATGGTATTCGGCGTCAACGCAGCTTCCAAATCGACTGCCGGCTCGTCCCCGAATTCTCCCGTGGCCATTTTTAATGCCATTTGCAACATGTCATCCCCGAATGTGTTGCTGGAATCAACTGCTTCCGGACTGAAACCATCACTACGTAAATTGTCTTGATCAGCTGTGTTATCTTCCCTAAACAAAAATATATGCTTTTGATGCGTGAGATAAACAGAAATAAAATCTTTAAAAAGTAAATAAATATAACAATTTTGTATCTTTGGTCACTGGACAGATTTCCAACTTAATGTTTATTTATGATTATATATATAAAAAAAAACGCGCATTTCTTTACATTTTAAATTTATTTATTCTGCGCAGAAATAAGGCGCACACATCATATGTTGCTATTAAATAGATGCTTCTGCAATGTTTAATGCTTTAATTCAAACGATCTGAACAATAATAGCTTACCTATCGTCCACTGAATCAGAATCACTGTCGTTGGCCTTCTTTTCGGTGGCTACCATCTCGGCCATCATAAGGAGCTCGGCCTCGTACGGATCGGCCGGTATCTTCTCTTGTATTCTCTTGATATCTTTCATAATTCCCTTAGCGCTGTTTCTCGTAGTGGGAATGAACAGGGGAACGGGAATGGGCAGTGGGAAGGGCATTGGAACTGGGAACGGCATGTTGTACATGTACATTGGAAATGGAACGTAAATTGGCACCGGTATAGGCACGACCACCTGTTGAACTCTTTCCGTCGTTTGCGTCGACTTTGTGCAAGGATGCGGACGCACGGAAACCCCCTTCGTGTGTACCAAAGGCTTGCACTGAGTCGTCTTGTTGTGCATATTCACTGGACTAGGAGGTCTGGTAATGACCTGTTGCTTGTAGACCATCTTCGCCGCTTGACTCGCGTTCACTATACTGTTTTGCTGCGACGTCGAATTCGCCTGTCCATTCCCTATCGGGGCTAAGCTCGTCACCGACGAGATAACCGGGATAGTCTTCTTATTTTGTATGTCCTTGAGAACGGCCTGACTCGTACCTCTCTGCGGTAACGTGGTCCTCTTGGGCAAGCCCGTAGGCACGGGATCGTCGCTCGACGGTATAGTTATAGGCGACTTAGTGTACTGCGCTTGAAAATTCATGACGCAATTGTACGAGCAAAAATTACGTATCGTCGCGTCCGACATCGTGAGGTGATAATGCGCTAAGGAATACTCCTTACAAAAATCACAGTTGATTCGTTTCGCAGACACTGCATTAATGGAGACCTGCGAGAGAAATGAGAAATTTGTACCTTGTGAGTCACATTGTTATATATATTTAAATGTTATGATAATATATGTTTCCATATATATTATTCCACGTAATAAAATATTATTACCTGATAAAGCGTCAAGCAATTCAAGCTGCACATCATCAGAGTTTGTCCCGTTTTTAATTCCTTCTTAATCATATCAAAGTTATATTTCTTTACTTTGCACCAGTTGCACGACACTATTTTTCTATTCGTTATGATAAATATGTTTAAGCATGTCTTGTTACAAAACGTGTGGGGCTCGTTCTCGTAAAATACAATGAAGTGCTGCTTATTCGGTAATTCGAAAAATTTCTTGCATGTAGAGCATTGTTCAGGTTTCACCTGCTTCACAAACTTAAACGCAGCAAAACAGGGTTCGCTGCATATAGCTACCGGAGTGCTGTTGTATATCTGAACTTCGCAGTGTACAAGTTTTTCCTGCGAGAAAAAAAAATTACATTTTTTAAAATTATTCATGATACATTTAGAAAATAAGAGAACAAGAAAAAATTATTTTACGAATATAAGAACAAAAAGACTAATACAATGAGCAAATAGGATGCCACATTATTAAAAACGTATACTTTTAATATTCGTCATTAAAATAAATAAATTTAAAAATTTCAATGTTATAAAGCAAGATTGTTGGGTGTGGTTTAAATTGTAAAAGTACATTTTATAATGTCCGTGAGAAGTGTAACAATACTACATTAAATACAATAAAAAGGAAAATTCAATTAATAAGAGATTACTCGGCAAGCTTGTCGCCAAAACAGAGAATTCAGAAATTTACACGCAGTCAAAGATCAGGATTGAGAAATAATCGGTAAACGCGTGAATATTGCACAATGTCTTCTGAATAAATGAGAGAATTAGTGGACAGACGCAAACAAATATTTTAATTTATAAAGTCCGGTTTTTCAATTCACGGATTTAACCGAATTTTCAATTCGCTTTATCTTTTTCTAATCCAAGAATTAGAAAGAGACAAACAGTAAGTTAAACCGAGATCAAAGTTAATCTTACATTTGTAGAACCGAGCCTATAAATTCGATACTTGTATAAATATGGAAAGAAAATTTGTTTTACCGCCTGACAAACGCTGCATGGCTTTTTCTCCGTAGCCGGCGGTACCGTGGAGTTCAACTTTGAATATTTTTCCATACAGTCCTGGGTGCAAAAGTCCTTAAACTGCCCTTTCTCTCCGACCGGCGCGAGGAAGCCGTCCGTGCTGAAACTTATGTCCTTCTGGCAGTAACTGCACACCTTCAAACCCTTCTTGAATTCCTCCAGACAGGACGAGCAACAGAACTGCCTCACGTCGCATCCGAATCTCACGCAGTACTTGCCCAGACTCACAGGTTGAACCGCGCCGTTGCAATTCTTGCAGAAACTACCGTACTTCCTTTGGAACCTGCCCAGGCATTCCTCGTTGCAGAACTCCATCGTTTCCCAGGACAGATTTCGCTCGTCGTTCGTTTCTATAATTGACAAACAAGTCGCGCAACGTTTCTCCCGCTTGGAGTTGGCCCCTTCGCTCGGTATGTCGACGGCTTTATTGTGAGCCGCTTTAAACAACGCCTTGCACGTCTTCGAGCACACGAGATAACTCTCCGCGCCGCTCTTCACCCGGATTTTGCACGCCCTCTCCTCGCCGCACTGCTTACACACCTCCTTATTACTAATCTCTTCCACCTCCGAAGTTTTCTCGTCGTCAATATTAATAACGTCCGCCGCCGGGGTGACATCTTTCGCTGTCGACTCGCGCTCGTCTTGAACAACCGTCTTCTGCTTCGTGGGATCTTCCGCTTTATTTTCACTCGTGGACGCTGACTCGGATTCGTCTTTCGAAGTGTCTTTCTCGAGCTCCGCATTGGATTTGCCACTTTTCTGCGCCGTTTCCTCGCTTGTGGAATCTTTGGCAAGCGCGGATTCGCTCTGATTGCCGTCTACCGTTTTACCCGACTTATTTGGTATTATCACTTTCATGCTGTCTGGGATGATGCACAATTCGTCATCCTGTCCCGGCAACACGTCGGCCTGCTCCTCGTCCGTTTCCATTGGCGTGATCTCCTCGACGGTCTTCTTGGCCTGCTCATCTTGCTCCTCGGGCAGCTTCGCGGGGGGCATACTTTCCGCTCCCGTTTCCGAAGCCGTACCGGCACCCGGGAGATCAACGTCCATCGGAGTATTTTCGAGAGAGTCGACGCCGCCGGCTTGTGCGTTACTTGGCGTTTCAGCAATATTGTCCACGACTTTGTCGACGTCGCCGCCGTCCTTCGGGTCGTTTAACGCTGAATCGACATTCAGCTTCTCGCCGCATTCCTCGTTGTTTCTCGCGTTCACCGCGTCCTGCAAGTTATCACCCTGCTCGTATATCTTTTTAAAACTGAGCCCGTTCTCGGCGAGGCCGTCGGTCTCCGCCTGCTCCACGTTCTCGGACGTGAGATTGTCACCGCCAAACGGATCGTCCTCCGCGTCCATGGACTGCACCTCGATCTGAGAGTCGTCGTTCTTGTCGTGGGAGAATTGTATGAACTCCGTGTTCTCGGGCTCGATGTTCTTCTCGGACGGGTCCAAATTGTCTAAATTACTGTCCGAGGATTCCGACTCGATCTTCTTCGACGACGCAGCTTCTCTCTGCGACACTTGCACGTCGTCTGCGTTACTGCTCGACTCGTCCGGGATATCACAATCTTTAGCTTTGTCCTTAGGCAACGTCTCGGACTCGTCGGCAACGTTATCGTCAGTGGATTTCCCACCGTCATTCGCAGCACCGTCTTGAACCTTGGACGAGTCTTCGAGAGTCGATGGAAGCTCCGTGTCACACTGTTTGGTTGAATTGGATGTATCTGGCTCTGCCGTTTCGGCGTCCACATGAACCGAGGCGGTTTCCTCGTGGGAATCTCGATCTGGCTCTGTCGTTTCCGCGTCCACACGAACCGAGGCGGTTTCCTCATGGGAATCTCGATCTGGCTCTGTCGTCTCCGCGTCCACATGAACCGAGGTGTTTTCCTCGCGGGAACCTTGATCTGGTTCTGTCGTTTCTGTTTCTACATGAATCGAGGCGGTTTCCTCGCGGGAACCTTGATCTGGTTCTGTCGTTTCTGTTTCTACATGAATCGAGGCGGTTTCCTCACGGAAACTTTGATCTGGTTCTGTCGTTTCCGCGGCTACATGAACCGAGGCATTTTCCTCATGGGAATCTTGATCTGGCTCTGTCGTTTCCGCGTCCACGTGAACCGAGGTCGAGGTGTTTTCCTCGCAAAAATCTCCATCTGGTTTTGTAGTTTCCGCGTCCACTTGAACCGAGGTCGAGATGTTTTCCTCGCAAAAACCTCCATCTGGCTTTGTAGTTTCCGCGTCCACTTGAACCGAGGTCAAGGTGTTTTCCTCACAGGAACCTTCATCTGGCTTTGTCGTTTCCGCGTCTACATGAACCGAGGTCAAGGTGTTTTCCTCACAGGAACCTCCATCTGGCTTTGTCGTTTCCGCGTCTACATGAACCGAAGCGTTTTCTTCACAGGAACCTCCATCTGGCTCTGTCGTTTCCGCGTCTACATGAACCAAAGCGTTTTCTTCACAGGAACCTCCATCTGGCTCTGTCGTTTCCGCGTCTGCATGAACCAAAGCGTTTTCTTCACAGGAACCTCCATCTGGCTCTGTCGTTTCCGCATCTACATAAATTGGAGCATCTTCTTTGTTGGTATTTTCGAGTACATTATTTGCTTCTATTGTTACAGTGTCACTGTTATCCTCAGATAATGCTACTTCAACTTCTGCATTATAGTCCCCCTCGGTGCTTTCTAAACATATGGTAGATTCACTAGCGTTCACATTTGATACAGACGAGTCTTTCTCACAGTTATCGGATATTGCAGTTTCTTCTCTATTCATTTCATCATCAAGCATCTCTGAAATATCTTTATCAAGCAAATTATCAGATTGATCAGGTCGATCAGACTCCTCGTTTTCCTCTGAAACTTCTTCGATACAGCTTTCGGTGCTATCTTTAATCTCGGAATTGCTCACAGCTTCTGGTTGAGGTGCAACGCCGGTGTCGTCTGAAGATTCCGGACCGTCCTTGGAATCCATTGTGACTATTGGCTCCTCCATTGAATATCTAAAAATGCACAGGGTTAAACTTTAATAATAAAATACTCTCGTAGCTTTATAATAAAGCACTTCTTTATATCGCTTAAAGCAGAAATCTGTCAATGAAATTATGAGATAAATATCTTTTTTTTTTTTCTAATACGTTCTGGTCACATTATTTACTTATTGTACTCTTTATTAAAAAGAACACGAACGTGGCACAGTGCACGGATTCTTGAAGTCTAGTCAAAGTGAACACTACGTTGCGAGAGTGAGATTCGAAACAAGCGAGGAAATAAGAGAGTATCACAGACACGAGTCGACATCAACAGCTCGTAGGCGGGTGGCGTCTAGGTTATGCGAGACCCGCTCGCCAAGTTTTCCCTACCTGCCAGTCGCACGTCGACTCGACGCCGTCGAGAGCTCGACGGCCTCAATGGGATCAAGCGCCGCGGATACGATCTCGTATCGGACGACAACGCACCGTCCGTACTCCGTGGACGGACAATAGGCTGCCTCGCCGGGGGACACGGCGAAGTGACGAGCAAGTGACGCGCGGTGACGCGACGCGTTGCCCGCTTCGCGACGAGGGGACGCGCGAGGCGCGCGATTCGTTTCAAATCGGAGTAATTGGACGACGCGACCGTCGGGAGTCCGTGATCCGCGGCGCGCCGGTGTTTCCGGCCACGGGACGAGATGCTCTGTTCGGGGAAATCGGTGGCCGACCGCCGACTCACGACTCACGCAAGCAACAACCGCGGCGAAAGCCGACTCACGGCCGGCTAACTTCGTTCCGCGAGGACCGCGAGCACGGGGTATGCAGTTCGCCCTCGTGCACTAACGCCCTCTGGAGAAGTGGATCGAAATTACGTAGCAAAAGTTTTCTGCACAATTTGTGGTGCGTGTCCGTACTAAATCCACTTTTCGAGTCTGCTTTGATATTGAAACCTCTAAAATTAAATTAACTCTTAAATTAACTCTTATCAATTATTGCAATATTAAACTAACGCGCAATGATAGATTCGACACTCTTGTACCGATAATTAATTCATTCGACTGTGCGTGTTTCGCAAAATTTATTCGGCTAAAAATGTATCTCGTGACAATTATACATTTTCGGATCTTTATATGTATAATTTCATCTTGCACATTTAAAGCCGGTTCTACATTAGTTGCAAGCCGATCGCAAGCTTGTTGCGACAGCCAATCCAAAGCATTGATTTCAAAATGCAAGCTTCAGATTGGCTGTCACACAAGCTTGCGATCGTCTTGGAACTAATGTAGAACCGACTTAACTTGCGTTAAAATGCGAAGTAACAATTGCGAGGATATATTATGTATTTCTCGAAACTAAAGAAAAGAACTCAACAAGAATGGAATCTTTTATTCTTGGAAATCTTTGTCACCGACGAGATACTATTAAAGCTGTCAATAATTCTGGACAAATTTTCGTGACCATCAAAGCGACCCTCGGAGGTAATTGCACCTGTAGAGTGTCGATGTTATCGACTATTGACATAAATTTGCGATCGTTAGCATATAAATTTTGAATAATATTAAAATCATGAATAATATATTATTAAAAACATTTATATAAACATTACAGTTGTGGTGCACGAAGCAATTACATGATCGTTCCAAGTGCGCGATTTTCGAAATTCGAGACCCAGCAATTCCGATCATTCCGATCTATCTGTCGCTCCGCGAGGGACAATTCAAGCGTACGAATCGCCGCGAAAGGAGGCCACCGTGGTGGGGACGTAATCAAACGCTGCCATTGGACAATCGGGTCGCGGCGACCGACGGGCAACTTCGCGGCGTTTCCGCGGATCCGAAACGCGGAATCTCGTTTTCTCTCGCGAAACGATTTTCCTTTTGCGATCTCCGCCGGGCCGATAACGAGTCGACGGCGACGTCGAGGAGGTCGCGGGCGCGCTTCGATCATAGCGAATTTTGCGAATCCGGCGTGGAATACGCGAGATACACGGCGAGCGTGCGGCGACGAAGCAGACAGGGCGGCTCGCGGCGGCAGCGGCGGCGGCGGCGGCCGAGTTCAATGACCGCCGCGCCGCGCGAGTCGCCACCGAGGTGTTTCGCACGCGAATAGGTACACTGCGCGCTGGGTGTCGTGCGCGTCTCCGGCGATCCGTTTCGGGACCTCGAGAGAGATTCGTACGCGGTAGTGCGCGATGGGTGGATCACGCGTTTGAGAGAACGATCAGCCAATAATCGGAGTGGTGGACACCGCGCTCCGTCGGAAGTGTCGGAAGGAACGAGCGCTCCGGCGATCCCGCCGCTTTGAAGGAACGGCAGCGCTCGACGGACCTTATCGACGGAATCAACAGTTAACCGCGTTCGAGAAGTGTCGAGAGCCTCGCGGGAGTCTCTCACAGTCCGCCGAGGGAGCGACGACGACGGGCGACGGAGAGGATCATTGTTGCATCACCGCCGGCCGAGAGACGGGATTGCGCGACGGTCGTTCGACGTGGGACAACAACGACGAAATAGAAGAGATATAGAATTTCGCGTCGCGCGACGGAGAAGTCGGGCCGGGGCGACGGCGGCGCGGCGTGGGAGGAAGGAAAGAGGAGGAGCGCGACACTCATCGGCGCGACACACACGCTCTCGGGAAGCGTCAAAAAGCGCCAAGGTGGTGCGTGACGTTTACGCCGCGCGGTGACACGGAGCGTGTCACGAGTTTCGGCGGCGGAGCGAGGTTGTTTAGTTGTTGAGAGAGGGCGAGCGCAGGAAGGACGAACGGACGAGGTTGGTTGCGCGCGCGTGCTTTTGTGGCTCTCCTACACGGACACGGGAATATACGTTGCATCCGCGAAGGTGTGTGTTGTATTGCGCGCCGCGAATTCGTGCGCGCTCTTCTCTCTCTCTCGTCGGTCATCCCCGCGTCTTTGGGGGTGTGGTGTGTGTGTGTGTTTTGTTCGCGAACTTGTTCTCCGGGTCGTGCTCTCGTCGAAGGGGGCACTCGCGCGAACACAGGGACCGGAGACGGAGACTCCTCCTTCCTCCCTTCTCCCCTTTCCTCCCGCGGCCTTCGCGAAAACACGAATTCTCTCTCTCTCTGTCTCTCCCTTCCTCGCTCCCCGCGCCTCGTCCCTCTCTCTCTCTCTCCCCTCGTCTTCGCAGTGAACGCGCGTTCGACTCATCATCCAAGGAACGGACGCGTCGTTCGTCGTCGATCATCGTTACGGCGGAAGAGAAGCGAGAAAATGGCCGACAGTTGGACGCAAAGTATTGTTTGCCGGTAAGAGGATCGCGGACGAGCGTTTCGCACGTCGCGTGTCTCGCGGGGAGATTCCTCGCGGAAGATTCTGACGATCCGATCGAGATTATCGTAGGAGAGACGGAGAGATTAGCCGTGAAGCACGGGAACGGGCGACGTTCGATCGAGGCACACTCGGGCACAATAATAATAATATAAATATTGACAATAGGCGAAATGTTCGTCTTTCTATCTGTATCTCTCCGTCTCTCTTTATGCCGTTACGGACCCCTCGTCGCGACGGATTTCAAACGCGCGACGGCCGTTTCTCGCGACCACAAGATTTTTTCCTGTCCTGTTGTTTATCGCAACAACACGTGTAATCACGTGCACGTACTTTCGCAGGTACTTCAAGAATGGCACTTGCCGCGAGGGGGTCAACTGCCGGTATCGACATGTGCAAGGGCACAGGAATGATGCAAGTATCAACGAGGCAACGTCAACCCATAGCTCTGCTTATATTGTCACTTGTCGCTTCTTCAAACAGGGCATATGTAAGTACGGCAGTCAGTGCCGTTATCGCCACAGCTCGGGTAACGCGGATAGCAATGCCACACAGACGAACGCAACGGAAAACTCGGCCTCCGGTCAGCATACGGCGAACTTTTCGAGAAACAAGTGAGTTCAGATGTCGAATTTTAATCTTGTCGATTCGTTAATTCCTTAGGACATTTATTACTGGAAGGAGAATTGCCTATACCATGCATCGAGCTGAAGTCAACATCTGTGCGAGAAAGGTATAGATTGCCAATTGTCTGTAATGCACATGTGCCATTCAGCCCTCATTTAGTCCCGTTTTTCATTTTTTTTGAAAATATTTTCGAAAAATAAGAAATTAGGCAAAACGGGCTGAGTGGGGGCTGAATGACACATGCGCATTACAGACAATTGGGAATCTATACCTTTCTCTCTTGCACAGGTGTTGGCTTCACGTTCAGCACTCTATTCTCCTTTCAGTAATATGTGTTCTAAGGTTAATTCCTATTCGGCTGGGTTGTACTTGTAACAACATTCGTGTAATTGGTAGGAAAGCTGAGAAACGTACCGCGGAAGAATGGGTCAAGGCACCGGAGTTCATACCTACGACTGGATCCCCGGTTGCTGGATCGTCCTCCATAGACGGAATGTCGTCCACCTCGGGAACGTCCTCAGGATCGGGCACGTCGATGCCGGTCTCGTACGCCCAAGCTGTCAATCCATCTGGTCAAGCCTCGAGTCCCTCGTTAGAACCTCTGTGTCCTTATGCGGAAGCAACTGGAATCTGCAGAAGTTCGACCTGCACATATCTACACGGTGATATCTGTGAATTCTGTAGCCGCGCGGCCCTTCATCCACACAACGAGGAATTGAGGAAGAAACATACAAATGTAAGGCTTTACTTTGTCTCATCTGTTATCTTATCAATTGTGGATTGAATTAATCTAATTAATAACCTATCCTATAATTCATGGTACGTAGTTCATAGCTCATTTTTATCAATAAATGCGTTCGTTTATTTCTGAGACATTATAGTTATTATACATGTAACGTAAATTATGTACTATACATGCGCATTTAAAAACGCATTTAAAATCGTTAAAAGTGGGATATGAATATGAATCTATTTGACTCTGTTAATGTTTGTGTGAAATAGAGGTTAGGAGCAAATTAAATTGCGGGGAAAATTTGTATTTCCTATTACTTAACATTTTTTTGCTGAAATTAAAATATGCGACATGATTCACGTCAAATGAAATGTGACTTTTTTTTTACATAAGTATACGTATCTTGAATATTCTGCTAAAGGATGACGTTTAACACAGGCATGCGTGAAGCAGCACGAAGCGGACATGGAATTATCCTTCGCCATTCAGCGCAGCAAAGAGAAGTCTTGCGGCGTTTGTTTCGAGACAATAATGGAGAAGTCCTCGCGAGAACAGAGATTCGGTATACTGCCGAATTGCAATCACTGTTTCTGCCTAACCTGCATCAGAAAGTGGCGCCAGGCCAAACAGTTTGACAACAAAATTATAAGGGCATGCCCGGAGTGCCGTATTCCCTCGGACTTCGTCTGTCCGAGTATGTACTGGGTGGACACAAAGGAGGAGAAGGAAAAATTAATAAGAGATTATAAAGGCGCCTTGAGGTACGAGATGATCGATAATCTATGGTAGAACTCCATTTAGCTGAACATGAAGGGCAAGACAGTTCCGATAATCGAACGGTTCTCGAATAAGAGGCTTGGTTATTAGCGATAATAACGATGCTGATGTACTTATTAGTTCCGATAGGAGCTGACGATAGAAAACTAAAGTCAAGCGCGTGGAGCTCTTATTATCCGAATGGTACTGGAATTCGGATAATGAGGACTCAGCTATGAGCTCGTATATTTTAGAGTACTTAAGCTTGTCCGTGTAAATGGAGTGTGGATATGGTTTGAATTTCGACTGTACCTTTGTTTTAACTGTTTGTCATTTCTTTTACAGTACCAAGGATTGCAAGTACTTCAACAAGGGTCTCGGCAAGTGTCCGTTCGGTAACAAATGTTTCTACCTTCACGCCCTTCCGGACGGGACTAAGAAGGACGTGGGTCCACCGGTTCGACAGAGGCGCAACACCGCTGACACCGACATCGACATCCTGCACGTAAGTGTTGCTCACAATTTTACTAAAGTATATACATATTTGTTTTGATCGCGGATGAACGCGTTTCATTTTAAGTGTCGTCGGAGGCAAGTGATGTAGAATTCTTCTTCGTATCGAGCAATCGAGCTACATCCGTTTTTTTCTTTTTTTTTGTTTTACATAACTTTACATGCTTTGCACTATGGTATGTATAAAAATATATATATATATACACGCAGAACGGTGAAAGAGCGGTTTTACACTATTTACAGCAACTAATCTTGTGGGATTTCTTCGATGAAAGGGACGATCGTTGGATGTATCTCGATTTAGAAGATATCCCTTTCTTCTCAGATTCCGACGAATCCGATTGGTCCGATTATGAACTGTCGTTCGATTAGACGAGCAAAACTAGTCGACCGAAACTGCCTTGATACTATTGTTATCATTGCTACTCTGTTGCTATGTCGATACCTACTTCCTTTTGTCATTCATGCAGGGCTTTAGCGACTAAGAAAAAATTACTAGCATTAACTAGATTATTAGCAAATAATTTGAATTATTATAATTCGAAGACGTTCTAGCTACGTAGAAGAAAAAAAATACAAAAAAGAAAAATGTACGCACTTTCCTAAAAATGATAATTTATATATAAAAGAAGAAAAACTGTCTAGTCGACGTCAAAATAGTTAAAACACTTTCTCATTTTCTTTCGCAGATAATATCTACAAGTTTTTTTATTTCTACATGATGATAATAATAGTTTAAAATGTCTATTTCATCTCCGCAACACTATGGAAATTATATTAATATTTTAATTTAATAAAAAAAATGACATTTTAGCAACTATTATTTCCAGCCATAGAAATAATTTTTTAAATATTATCTAAAAAAAAGGAACGTGTTCTCTTAACTATTTTAACGGTGACTGTACAGTTGTGTATAAACAATTACAAGATTAACAATTCTAATAATTATTACGGTACATAATCGAGCACAGCAAAATAAAAGGCAGGAAATAGAATCAACAACAGTAATTAAAATTTCCTTGGATATGCATCGTTACTCGGGAGTCACTTTTGTGTAACTTGACCAATGCTCTATTAACCGATTGTAGCAACTATTAATTCAGTGGTCCAAATTTCATCAGTGAATAGTGAATATCCATATCTTAACGTTGGTCGTTTTCTCAGAGAGTAATATTATCCATTTTTCTTTTTTCTATATCCGATGTTAATTATTATTTTTTAATTATTCCACAATGCATGATCTGTGGGATATACGTCTATACGTTAAATCGAATCATACAATAGTCAATAAATAACCAGAATTTTAGTTTATTATCGTCAGTGAAAAATTAAAAAAATCACTTTTTTTTGCTCTTTTTCATAAGCTGAAGAGTATATCAAAATAATTGAAGGGTAGTTTAACTGTAGCTTTGTTTTCGATTAAGGCTTCTTTTCATTTAAAGCGAATAGATTAGATTTATTTTGTAATTTCAATAAACATTTCTCATTCAATGATGATTACATTATTACGTGTACTTAATCGACAATGTAAAAACTATGAAAAATGAGCTAATGGGATTTAAACGAAATTTTAAACAATGCAAAACTACCGTTTCGAATCGATTTTAGTGGGCTTTATTTGTATTTGTAATTAATATCTACATATAGAATGGGCATGTTTTGTGATTGCAATACAATGTTACGCTTGATGTGAAAGATAAACTCAAATCAGTTAAGTGTGTCTTGTCCGTAAATATAATTCCGATACAGCAAGAAAAGAAATCCCATCAAATGGTACACTTTACGTTTAATGAAAAAAAATTTTTATTTCAAGCACAAACCTATTATCAATTATTGCAATTACGAAACATATTTAGTTATAACGCGTTCGAAGATTCACAACACACTACTATTCACATGTAAAATAGGAAAACTGGACAACGATTTATTACTTGTGTGATCAGTGTGCATTGTTAGTTGAATTTATCAGTAGTTCATATCGAAGGTACGATCTACAACTGTCGTCCTACCTCTTGCTACATGGCTCCGCGAAAATCTTTATACATATATATATACGATACATTTCTTTAAATTATTATACAGTTGTATAGCGTTACTCGTGAGTAATGGGTATTCCTTTCGAGAGTAAGTGGCAAAGTGAATGTGATAACACTTGTGTAAGAATGCAAGCGTATAATGGTGTGTGGTATTATGTGTGCGTGTCCGTAAATGTGCGAATGGAAGTACGAATACAATGGAAAAAAATAAAATATTTGTGAGAAAGAGACAGACTAGCATTATGGATAGCATATATGCGGGATGAACAACAAATGTAATAAAAAAAAAAAAGAAAGACCGCTTTGTGTGAAGTGCGCATTTGTAGATTCGAGATCTAAAAGGAAAAAAAAAGAGAAAAAAAAAGTAGAAGTACGCACGACGGAGTTGGACCCACGACATAGAGCCATGCTGGGAAATAATCGTCAATCGTTTTTACATTTTATCGATTTACTAATAATAGCAAAACACGTTCCGACAACCGTTCTCTCGATATAGAACCATGATAATTACACTTTGAAGGGCATAGAATTCTTTTTTTGTGTAAAACCGGACGAGATGGCACGTACGTAAAAAAAATATACGCCAAAGAGATACGATATTCACCCACTAGTATTGAATAATTACGTGTGATGTGTCATTTTTTAACCCTTTCGCTAAAACGATCTTTCCGCAATATATTTATGACAAATAATCACGTTGTTCTACATATATATATATATAGTTCCTGCTCGCACACTTACAACCTGATTCGTATTCATGGTAGGGAAGTGACCAGCTTTTACAAGCAGAGAACCGTCGGTACTGCCTTTCAAAAGCTATGTGATTATAGAGTAATATATCGTTCATTGCGCTATATAAAAGTCAGTTTCTTAATCCGCCTCGACAAAGCGTTTTATCGGCTCGGAATTTTCGCTACGCCATAAGAATATCGTTTATATATTTCCCATAGAATTTCTATGCTGTTAATTTTATCGACAATTGTTAGAATAAATCGCTTTATATTGTTACCGGTAATGTATAATAGAAAAACTTTCTATGGTACGCTGTGCGTTTTTTCGAGCGGCTATTTTTCGAGCTACTTTCTTTAACAGCCACACAAGCTTCCCGACGGAGGGGAAACAAAAAGTATAAAAAAAAAAAATAACGCTTAAGCGACATTGGATTGTAAGATAGCGGAATGTGCATCGACGAGTCGATTGGGAATTCTTAAAAGTCGGCTAATAATTTTCGTGTAATGATGATAAATTTTTGCGATGGAAACGTCTTTAAACGTTTAGCACGTTCAGAGTACCAGAGTACATATCGCCGTTGTAGGAGGAGAGCCAAGACGTTACGACTGCGTTGAGCGTTGCATGAATTTGCCGACGTCACTACCACTTTTATCCGTCTTAGAAAATGCGCGCGATGCTATTTACTGCATTATTATGCTCTAAATGCATGAGGCGCGAAAAGGGAGATGTAAAATTAGCAGTTGACGTTCGTCGAAGTCAAGTTCAACGGGCATTCAAAAGTCGTTTCAGCGCAGTTTGCCTTGGCTTTGGCGATGCATTTTTCGGAGTTAACTTTGGAGTTCACTCGCGTATACACAGTACATAGTGATTCTAAAGTCGAGATTCCACCGTGTGATCTTTTTTTTTTTTCTCTCGTCGATAAGGGGTGTAAGGGGAGAGGCCGACTTTTTATTACCGATTCATTCGGACTTATTATTCGGAAGATAGCGAACGTCAGAACCGAGAATCTTGATAACTTTCAATCCCGTTCTCAGGATGGTTTCATTAAGCTAGTTTAGAAAATTGTATAGAATTTTACGGTAACAACCGCGTGCGTTGTGTGTCTCTGCGTGCAGAATTCAATCGCCAAGATTCTACCGCAAGTGTGCATTAATGCGAATTAATCGTACTAAACGTACCTGCATTGAATACTGTATTGCGTAGTGACGGGTATTCTTTCCCCCCCCCCCCCCTCCCTTAACAACCTAAATACGCTTTACAGATCGTTACGTAATTCATTTACATAAGCCGAGATATGATCGAGCGTCTCTGATCTTTTTTCTTTTTTTCGACTCTTTACGGAATGCAGTTCTTTAGGAATAAACATTGTGCCGATTGTACCCGTTTTTACTTTTCAGCGTATTATTTATTTTTATTCGTATGTTTAAAACGTGTATTTTATCGTGTGCCGGAATCGCTCAAAAGAGTCTTGCGAGTCTAGGGAGAGTTACACTTAAGTATTTTTTCTTTTATAGGGGAGGTAATTCGTTGGTAATCACGCTAAATTTCTACACGTAATTAAACCTTATATTTTTGTAACTTATATCGCGTCGAACTACGTTATGTAATAAAAAGGCTCTATGAAAGCGGATATAAATAAGATATACGACTAAAAAGTCTTATATTTGTTAGGCAGCGCACCACCATGAGAAGGTAATAAAAAAAAAAAAAAAAAAAAATCGACGTTGAAAACAATTGTTGTGCCACAGCTTGTTTCCTTACGTCTTTAATAGATCTTAGATTATTGTGAATGTTTTTTTTAGCCAATAAAATAATCGTAGATCAAAGCAAATCTGTATTTTCACTGCATTTAATGCGAAGCAAATTGCGAACGTTCGCATTATCTCCAACCATCCTTTTTACAGATAAGAAAAAAAAAACACAATTCTAAAGAAATTAATTCTATCGATAAGAAACAGCGAGCTCCCTTTCTCTCTCTTTTTCTGCCCAGGGTCTTTCTCCTCTGCTTTTCTTAATTGATAATGCGGTTGCGAAATTGTCGCCGTGTCACGTTTGCTTTGCATTGTATCGCGTTATCGCGGGCAAAGTGTAATTGTAAAATTATCCGAATGTATTCAACGATGACGAGTACGATTAAAGTCCGGATGTATGTAAAAAGAAAAAAAAACCGTGGAACTCGTTTTGAGATCGCAGAATATTGCGACTGCTCGCGGAACTTGCAACAAGAATTTATTTCTACGAGCGATCGCAAAAAAAAAAAACTTGCTCCTGATAGATGCAAGAGCAACTGCTTCCCGGGGGAACGAGGGGGAGAAGGAGGGATGCGATCGAGTGATTCGTGCGTCGATTGCATGTGAAAAAATTTTCTGGCGTGCAACCAAGGGAGTCTTTATCATTGCAAAGGAATGCGAGGAACGTCGGCGAGCTGTATCTAATTGCACGTTATCTAAATCGCCACGTTCCCCCTTTCTCCCGCTGTCGCGGGTCCGCCACGCCGTTGGTTTTTACGTGTGTCCGTTAACTTCTAATAAAGTAGGATTAGCGATAAAAGGTCTATATATATATATATGTATATATATATATATATATATATATATATATACACATATATTTAATACACTGTATGTACGTATGTCCTCTCTCCGCCACCCGCGCTCCACACACATCACGCCCGCCCGCACGCACGCACGCACGCA